TTTCTTTCTCTCTCGGTGGGGTTTTTTTTTTTTTTTTTCAGTCCCCCCCCCCCCCCCCCCCCCCATATTTCAGGATCTAGAATAGGAGCTGAGGAGGCCCTGTACCTCTACACCAGCGGGCCTGACCTCACCTCAATCATGCCCTGCAAGTATGGCAAGCCCAGTGGGACAGTCTCTAAGTTTGTCACTCTGGAAGGCCTGAAGTGTGAAGATGTACGGGAGCTTCTGATGAAGAATCAGGACGTGGACACAACAGCTTTGGTTGTAAGTCTTTGTTTATGTGAAGCATTGACTTAGCATCCAAATCACAACAGAACACACACTTAAAAATGCAATAGAAGTGTTTTATTGTCGCTGTTGTTTTCACCCAATTTCTGCATGATAAAATGCAGATCGACACTGCAGGTAAAGCCTGTGCATTCTGCATAGCAAATCCCTCCTATGTCTTATATATTGTTTCATTTCACGGTGTATGAATTGTGTGCGGTTCCAATTAGCTGTCATTACACTGCACGGTAAGAAGTAATTTTTCCCCCAATGGAAAAAAGCTGTTACAGTTAAGCTGCAGCTTTTTTTATTGAGACTGAAAATAGTTTCCCTCCCATTAATGCTAATGTCTTTGTTGATCATAACTCTGCTGAGTTAAAATAAGGGAGTAAGACAAGAAGAATGAATGACATCTTTATAATTTCTGTTATGCTCTAAAAAAGTCTAACAAAGTCCAAATCCGTGAAATTGTAGCTACCGAGATTTACTACCGTAAATACCTCAAAATTAATATTAAAAGTTACAGGATAAACGTTTTGCCTGAAAATAATGAGTGCGTGGATTGTGTTCCTGTATAGGAGAGCTTGGCAGTAGTGTTTGCTCCCAGCAGTCCTAGAGTCTACACCATCTATGAGCCTGTAATCAGACTTAAGGGTCAGGCCAAGACGGTGGTCACCCAGCGGCCCTTCAGCTCCAAGGAGGTGCAGAGTGTTTCCCTGGACCCGAACTTTCTCAGAGCTTTTCTCCCCACTGAAACACATGGCCTGCAGAGCGTCCTGCACAAGATCGGTGGAACAGGAAATTTTGTCTTCCTCTTCGCACAGGTAGGACGGTCCATATATTCAATGAGCTCATGATTCCCAGCTGTTGGGATATTTCTGGAACACTGTAGATTTAGATAGATGTATTCCAGAGAGCGGAAAGTGTTCGTTTGATTTAATAAACCAGAAACAATCAGTGAATTTTAAGAACAAGTCACCTCACAGCAATGTAGAAACATGTACATCATAACGTCACATATTGATTGCTTTAACAACTTTGCAACTTTTTTGAGACAACAAACAACACAAAGAAGGAAAGGATTACACTTCCGGGTCATAAACACACTGTAGTTTTACAGTTTAATAGTGCTAGATTAGTTGAACAATAGAAAATGTTAAGCCATTTCTTTTATATTGAATAAACATTGAACTAAAATTGAAGCAAAAATTCCAAACATTTAATAATTCCAGCTTCTCAAATCTGATAATTTTCTGCTTTTAAGTGTCTTAACATTATATTAGATTAAAGTCTTTGTTTTGGGGGATTTTGGTCGGGAAAAAAGGAAGACGATGTCACCTTGGGCTCTAGGAAATGATGGTTGGCATTTCTCACTGATTTATGATGTTTCATAGACTAAACAATTGATCAATTAATCAAATAAATGATTGGCAGATTCATTAATTATGAAAATAATCGTTGCAGTTCTACAGTTAAAAAAGTCATTTTATGAAGGTGCTCTATGCCATATGACCACCACTGCAAGGAAATGTATTTCTAAGATCAAAAGATTAATGACAAAGCTTTAATATTTTTTATAACTGTATATGTTGAGGCAATGAAATGGCTCATGTTTGAACTAATAAGCTGCATCTCTCATAATTGAACTCCACCTTCAGGCTGCATTGTTCACATTTATAATTATTTTTTCTTTTCTTTTCTGTATTCTTTTATTCTTCTGTTCCTCCGTCCCTCATCTCTGGGTCTGCGGTGTCCAGACGGTGGAGCTGAGTGACTGTGAGAAGACCCAAGCACTGGCTCTGCGGGTGCTGCTGTCTTTGTCCAAGTTTAACCAACACCGCATCCATGAAATGGACTGTTACCATGGTTACTCTATGATCCACCAGGTCCTCATCAAGTCCAAATGCATCGTGGGATATCACATGCTCAAAGTGAGTCACACCTTGAACTCTTTGCCGTCTCCAGCACCCACAACCTCTGCTGATCTGTGCAGTCAAACACATGCATCACCGGCGCTTGTTTTTTTGTTTTTTTGTAACATGAGTCTGATCCAGGCCGCCACACCGGTGCCTCTCTGAGCCGGTGTTGGTGACCCTGCTGTTACTTGACCCTCTGGCTGTGTCTGTAATTGAGCCGTGTGATGGCTGAGCACTGAAATGGATTCTGTCTGACTTGATGAAACACTGAGCTCCTGCAGAGTCACACAGCACCTCTGATTGCCTTTGACACTTTAGGCTTCCACACATGGTATTTTACAGCCCAGAACAGCACTGATTAGTCATATTAAACACTCATAATCATTATAATAAAAGGAACATGCTGTGTTACAGTTGTTGGATTTTGTTTCTTTTCTATTTGTGCTGCAAAAAGACTGCCAACTTCTATCTTAGCTCAGTCCACCAGAGACCCAAAGGACTGTAAGAACTATAACCACTGCAGTTAAGCCGGTCAAAACGACTCTGATCAATACTGACGGGGCTGCTCAGGGAGCAAACGGCAGTGGTTTTGACGGAGTGATGAGCCTTCCAAAAAATTTCATGGAGAATTTATTTGACTCTCTGGGATTCTGCTGTTTCTGGAGAGATAGTGATTATCAATATGTTGAGTTGTGTGTTGGATGAGAGTGACCAGCACTCTATTATAGCAGCGCTGTAGACGTGTTTCTGATGCGGTGGCCATATTCTGTCCTTCTAGACTTTACTGGATGGATGTTGCAGTGCACCCATCCTCATCCTGGGGGACGATGGCCACTTCCGTTTGGACACCGAGTCCATCGCTGTGGTGCAGGATATCAGACTGCTCTCAGACGTCCTGTTCGACTGGAAGATCTGGGCCAAGGCTGAGGTAAACTCATACGTCACAGGATCAATTATATATATTCCATAATAGCAGGAGATGTAACACAATGTGGAAACATGATAGAATATACTGTACATAAAGACAAGCAGTCATATTTCTAACTAGGTGATTATCATAAATTCAAATTAGACTTTATTTTTCTCCTCTTTTTTTATTATAGTCAAATGTGAAGTAACAGTAAGCCAAAAGCATTATGGTGCTCTCAACCCGACTATATAGATGATGAAGAACCAGTTCATGAGTCTTTCACTGTCTGTGTCGTTTTCTGTCAGTGTGGAGTGTGGGAAACACTACTTGCTGCCTTAGAGATCCTCATCAGGGTGCACCACCCTTATCAGGTCTTCAACATCCGTCAGTTCCTCAAGGCTGAGGTAGTGCACCGCTTCCTGCTCACCTGCCAGGTGTTACAGGTAGGTTCGCAGTCATAAAGGTGCTGTGATAACACGTTACCTCTTCAGAGACTGTTACTGCACTGACAACATTGTGTTTGTCTTAAGGAGCATCGGGACGAGCATCTGACTGCCATCCCGCAGGAAGTCTGTCTGTCGTTCGTCAAAATCATCCAGGAGGTTCTCGGGTCACCCCCGGACATGGACCTGCTAAAACTGATCTACAACTTCCTGCTGGCTGTTCACCCACCTACCAACACCTACGTCTGCCACACTCCATCCAGCTTCTACTTCTCACTACACATAGGTGAGGAGGCAGTGCAGTTGAGAGCAGCACCTCTGTATCAAAGTGCCATTAATTGAATGCACTGAGCTCATTTGGTGTCTCTTTATTTGTCAGATGGGAAGCTGTACCAGGAGAAGGTACAGTCCATTATGAATCTGAGACACTCTAACAGTGGAGGAAAGTCTGCCAGCAGCTCTGTGGTGTCACTCTCCCCAACTGTCTTCACTGACGCTCCCCATGAAGGTACAGCTGTTTCAACTAAATTACCCCAACCTTAAAGCACTCCAAGGCATCCAACACTGTGACAACGATTAAATCCAAACCTTCAGTGTGTCGCTGTGGAATTACAATATAAAAAGGAAGATTAGCGGTGCTTTTGTGGGTGTATGTGCCTCAACCAAAAAACAAAAATGCTTAACATGTTTAGAGCTGTATCAGCTCTGTTTTCTCTCCGATTAATTACAGTTACCAGAGTTTTATTTATAGTACCTAATATAAACACCATTACTTATTGCTTATTGTGGTCATAACATTGCTTTTTTAGTTTCTTATAGAGCACTTTAAGCCTTGGGAAAGGGCTTTATAAATGGAATACATTTGGCTGTGATACTTGCAACAATGCATTGTGATACACTGACCACAAACAACTCTACAGTTTTGTAAATGAATCTGTGATTCTGCTCTGTCACATCATGTTATTCATCACAGCCACAAGTCTAAAAATCACAATTTTCTCTGCATGTAAATGAGGCCCTTTGCAGCCTTCAGTTAGAAACTCTAATCATTCCTTAAGTGCTGAATCATTTTGTTCTCTTTTCCAGGCCATCTCCACGCTCCTTCCCCTGAGCATGGAGGTGATAATCAGTCGTTACGCCTTCCTAGTCTGGCACCGTCTCCGTACTACTCTCCTCTACTGACACCTCGACTCGGACACGGTATCTCAAACGAGGCAGGTGAAGGTGAGGGGGTCTCCCTCGCCACTCAGCAGGCTCTTGGCAGCACGGAGACGCTCAAGAAGGGCGGAGCGGACGAGCAGCTTCTGAGCAGCTGTGAATCAGCCAAGACAATCTGTGAGTCTAAGGACATAGGTGAGGGAGGAGCCCTGCGCACTCCTTCCATCAGCGTGGAGGAGGAGCGGGACGAGGCGGCAGAGGTGAACAGCCTAACAGAGGGCAGCGTTGGGGTGGCAGAGTCTGAGGACAGGTTTGACTTGGCCAGCGACGAGGCGCCGCGCCGCCCTGACAGCCTGAAAGGCATCCAATCGTTCCAGAGGAGCCACAGCAATCTGGCCAGTCTGGGCCTGGCCTTCCCAGCTCCAAATGGCTCCTTGCCAATCGGCCGCTGGCCCAATTCGGCTGACCGAAGCTCCATGCCTGAAGACTGGGAGAGCTACACATACTCTCCTGGCTACGAGAGGATGCACAGCAAGACCGAGTCCAATGACGGGTATGTTGCTATAACACATACAGTATTACAGTAATACTCTCAGGATGTTCCAACTGAATGCTCAGTATCGTTACAAATTATAATATTGATAAAGTCAGCCCATACCAAAATTTGACCAATCTATAAATGGCTTCTAGTGAGCACTGGCAGTCTCTTTCAACATTTGTTTTAATTGCATGTCCATGTGGGTTTTGTTCTGGTACATAACTCTAGAAACGATAAAGACATGGACCACTTTGCTCGATAAAGAGGAGCTGGGCATGGATTTGCATAATCTAAATACAGCATTTGGTTATGATAATAATCCTCCAACTTTGAAAATGATTTGTACTGCAGTGACAGCTTCAGTGTATTTCTACCTGCCAGCCAGCAACTCAAGCTGATAGCAAATTAAAAAAGATATATTTTTTTCTTGTAATCCTGTTTTCTCACCAATGTCACCTTTTTCTTTACATTAGACACAATGTGGGCTGTTGTAGATGAATTTCAAGTTATACAGGAAACCTTCGAGAGAGAGAGAAAATGTCTTACATCCAAAATTCATTTTTATATTCTGATGCTTTAACAATAATATACGAGTTCAACAACCAAACAGCTTTGTCAATTCTAGCAGTGCTGATTATGAAGATAATTAATTTGAACAGTCAGGCTCTCTTTACACAATACCCCTCACACTGCAGGACACTAACCTCCTTTAAATATTGTAAACAAATTCACATCCCGTGTAACCTGAAATTAGTGGAAATTCAGCGAGCTGTTGGTGCACAGTAATTCCGCGCTGAACTCTAAGCTGTGTTTCTCAGGTCCAGCACTGAGGACTGCCTGGTGCTGATCTGCTGCGGACTCTATGATCTTCTGAGGGGCATCCTGCTGCTGTTGCCTGACCTCATGCTTGAGGAGGTGATGGACAAACTCATCCAGCCAGAGGCCCTCATTGTCCTAGTCAACCACTCGTCGCCTCTCATCCAGCAAGGTGTCATGAAGGTTGGTTCAGTATCCTCTTTGATGATCGTTGAATACTGTGATGCAGGAGGATCTGATTTAGCTCCAGGAGTCAAAACTCTACTGCACTTCTGATGCTGGTAGATCACATAGTATCTCCCAATCACAATCATTTCACTTTTACACCTTAGAGGTGCTCTAAAGGCACCGGTAGTTAGATTTTGTTACCTTTGGACAGAGCCAGGCTCGCTGTTTCCCCTTGTTTTCAGTCTTTATGCTAAGCTAAGATAACTGCAGTATTTATCATACAGACACGAGAGACGTATCAATCTTCTAATACTCAGCATGTCAGCAAATAAGCACCAAAAAACATAAAGCTCTTCCACTAATTGCTTGTGCTAAACATTTGATTAAGAACAAATCTTTTACTCTGAAATCTTAAATCGGTGCCAGCGTGTTAGCAAAGTATCCCACTCTATTGCCAGTGTTGGGACTGTACCTTTATGTCATATTATTCTGCCCCTCTCTCCTAGCTGCTGGATGCATATTTCAGCAGAGCCCACAAGGAGCAGAAGGAGAAATTTCTGAAGGACCACGGCTTCTCACTGCTGGCCAACCAGCTGTACATCCACCAGGGCAGCCTGGGGCTCCTCGAATGCTTCCTGGAGATGCTGTTCGGACGGCCGGTGGGCCTGGAGGAAGAGTGAGTCCAGGGAAATTGCACAGTTCAAGCCATATCGCCCAGTGTTTTGTCTTGGATTGTCTACAGTATGAATATGTGTGTTTGACACTATTTTTCTCTTCTGTAATTCTTTCCAGTCTGGACCTGGAGGAAATGGAAAATATCTCACCTTTCAGAAAGCGCTGTATCATCCCAGTGTTGGGTCTTATTGAGAACTCCCTGTATGAAAACTCCTTGGTGCACAACATCCTGTGTATGCTGCTGCAGCTCCTCAACGCCTGCCCAAAGCTGGCAGACATCCTGCTAGACCACGGGCTGCTCTACGTCCTCTTTAACACCCTCTCCACCCTCAATGGCATGGAGAACGGGTACGGCTGCCAGAACAGAGCACTATTCATTCAAACACCTCCTTGGATTCATAGGTTTTGTCTTGAACCTTTTGAGCCATGAATTTAATCAATAATCCTCTCACTGTTCATTGATCTGGCGTATACGAGTGGTAGACTCACTTCGTGCGCTTCATATTTTCTTGTTCTTCCTCTGCAGTATTCCCCTGAATGACTACAAGCTCCTGGTGTGTGACATCCAGCAGCTGTTGGTAGCTGTGACGATCCACTCCTGCAGCTCTTCAGGGTCACAGTACTTCCGCATCATTGAAGACCTCATTACCTTGCTGGGTTTCATGCAGACCAGCAAGATGCGTCGCACACAGGGTGAGCGGCTGGATTTCTAAAAATCAATACACAGGCGAAACACATCAGTGTTGTCATCTACTGTGCTCGGTAGTTCTGGGTGATATCAAGCTGTCAATGTCTGCTGCAGTGAGAAAATTCATCATCTACAACTGCAGAGTGGAAAATCATTTGAGAAACAAAAATTGATTTGACAAATATCTCACATCTCCGTGTTCCAACTAAATCATTTTCTCATTTTTTCCATAAATTAGCTCTCTGAAACGTATCTCTCCCATCTCTTCCCCATTAGCACTTATTTATTTTGTGATATAATCATTCTGTGATCACAGAAACATTACAAAGACATTATGGCTCCGTACATGGCACATTTATAATATACTTGTAATTACACTCGACTGTATTACTGCCTGCCCTCATTGGGCCAACTTGATGAATGTCACCAGTTCGTGAGGAGGTGCGTGTTGTGAGATTTGATCATTAACATAATCAACTACCCCAAACTGTCATGGAAGGCTGCCTTTTCTGCTCCGTTTGTGGGGGAAGTTAAAAATGTTACCCAAGAGTAAAGATAATTTAAAATCAGCAGATTAAAACATAACACACTTAGCAGTGTCTGTAGTCACAGTAGGGGAGCTGGAAATATTACCACAGCCGTCAACCCTGTGTCATCGCAAGACCGTACCGAGACATGAATAAAGAAGAATGGTTTGAACCTCTTGTATATCCATGATGGACATGATTTACTTTGCCATGACCCAAGTTTCTTCAATTTATTTAAAAAAAAATTGGATTTGACTAGCAGAAACGGTAGAAGTGGGGTTTTTTTGTCTGTAGAGCAAGATAGACTTTCTGTACATGACTAGTACGACAGGCCTAGGCCTCTTGTGAATCATATAAACTGAAATCAGATTCTTTTTTTTCTTTTTTTTTTTGTTTTGTATGTGAAAGCATTCATCAATACAGTAGTATTGATGAATACCAGTTCAAAGTCCCCTTTATATTAAATGACTTGTACGTGCCACAAATCAATTTATATGTATGTTTCTTGCATGAAGCTCTTCGCCAGTGCGTCAGGTAAACATCTAACATGTTAAAGTTCCTCGTCTCTTTGTTTGTTTTTTCCCCAGAGATGGCTGTGGCTTTGCAGTTCCGCGTCCTTCAGTCAGCGATTGAGTTCATAAAGACGACAGCCAATCAGGAACCTCAGAAGCTGAGCAGCTCTGTTAATACACCGAGCTCTCCACATATCGCCATCCATCAGAAGCGCAAGAGCATTGCGGGTGAGTGTTTCGTACTGATGCAGCAGCAGAAATCTGGTGTGCAGTCTTTCTGTGTCGAGTTAGAATTGACCATCATGCGTTTCCACCCCTGTGTCCACCCTCACCTGTCTGTTTATTGATCCTCTCCTCGTCCTGGTCTGAAGGTTCCATTGCCATGAAAGACTCCATTATTCCCCGCATCCCCAGACAGCACTACTGCTCCTATGGCCAGATACCCCTCTCCCCTCCCTTCAGCTTCCTGTCTCAGGACTCCCCCCTCCCCTCCCCCTCTGGAGCTCCATCCTACATGCTCCACTGTGACGCAGGTAGCTCGGACTGTAGTCCACAGCGGAGATCATCCTCCCCTGTCATGGAGCATGTCTCCCGTTTTTGCTGTGAACTCACCCTTTGCCCTCCACTCACCCCGGGTTTTAACTTGCCCAGTACCCTCGTGCGCTACTGGTGCCTTTGTGTGTGCATGGTTGAATGCTTAACTAAATCAGTGTTAAGTATTTTAACACAGATGGCACTTTGATTAGTGAATCATTAGAATCTTTTCTGTGTTCAATGATTCATGGGATATTTGCAAAACCTTACGCTGAACTTGAAAGGAGAAACCAATGCGTGCTTATACTTACAAAGAAGCGACCTACATGTGTGCTTTTAGGCCGGCGCCGGTTCTCTCTGGCCCAGACGGACTCTCTCCTGATGCGGATGCGCTCCGTAGCCAGTGATGAGCTCAACCAGATGATGCAGAGGAGGATGAGCCAGGAAAACCCCATTCGTGCCAGCGAGACTGAGTTCGTCCAACGGCTGCAGAGGCTTGTGGTTCTTGCTGTCAACAGACTCATTTACCATGGTAAAAAAACTCCTCCCACTTATCTATTCTAATCTTGTCTATTTTCTCCTTCACCTCACATGAGCGTGAACTGAAGTCCCTGTCTAATCCTGGATCTGTTCTCCCACTGCAGATGTAAGTCAGGACCTGTTTGACCTGCTGAATATCCCCGACTCTCCAGACCAACCGTTTTTAACCCCAGATCCAGCTGATCAGCCGCAGGACGAGAGTGGCTCCGCCTCTCTCTCACACTCTCCCATTCCCTTCACCCTGCCGCCTGCCAGCAAGAAGAGCTTTCAGAAAGACATCCTCATGCTCATGATGGACGGGATCAAAATAAGCCTGGTATGATGGCACTGAGAACCCTTTTTCTTTTCTTTTTTTTAGCTGTGAAGTTTTAATTGCTATATTGTGAGACCTTGTGTTACTGGTTGTGATCTCACAGGGCAGCTCGGGTCGAGGAGGAGCCCCACATCAGCAGTGGCGAAGGATCCTATGGTCGTGTCGGGACACTTTTCGGGTCCAAATCGGCCGCCTCCTTGTGCACACGCTCAGCCCTGCGCTTCCCCTCTCTGACAGGAAGGAGTCGCTGGAGTTTGTGTTTGATCCCAGACATTTGGATATCCTCAAGGAGAGCCTCAGCCCGGGTCTAGAGGTGAGTGCGAAGGAAATGCTTCATTAAATTCAAATCTATCACTAGTCTATTTGTCACCTTACACGTCAATTTGGCCTTTGCTCACTGACAAATATTGAACCCAAAATGATATATATTACCTTCCCATTTCAGACATTGTGTTGGGTCCAGGGGGAAGGTATGAGTGAGAGTTCAGTATATTAGCTTTGCTTGTCAGTTTCACTCCTACAGGAGCTGTCGGGCTTTGGCTCTAAAAGTACTCTGATAGATGTTTTCATGCTGTTCAGCAACCCCCTTGTCTCCCCATGGGAGTCTTTCACTTGTCCTCCTCTCAGGCTTTTCTGAGGGTTAACTAGCCGGATCAGGCTCGTTTCCTGTCCATCACTGTATGCGACCTGATTCAGACACAAACAAACAATGCATCTGTGCTCGCTCTGTCTTTCAGCATGGACCAAAGTTGTCACTGTACCTGTACGAGATGCTGCACGATCACAAGGACAGCCTCACCAAAGACGAGCAGAACGCCGTGGGTGTCTTCATGACCTCGCTCAAGCTTTGTGGCCATCGCTGCATCCCACCCAACACTCCACACAAACAAGACTTGCTCAAGGCCATAAAAGAGGTTAAGTCCTACAAAGACAAACATTCATTGTTAACAGTTTCTGAGCCTTACTAGCCAAACTCAATCAGCCCGTTTGGTAGTTCAGCAGTGTGACTACTTGTGTGCAGGTGGAAAAACTTCGTTGTCCATGAAGTGCAGCATGTCAGGTTTCTTTTTAGCTAGAAAATTAAGCTAATGCATCTTTCTTACTTCATTTTATTCATACAGGAAAAATTCAAGTATGAAGCAGAAGAGAAAACAAGCAAAGTGGCGTGGGAAAAGAAAATGACCAACACTCAGAGGAAGTGAGTAGGGGCTGTTTTTTTTTGTTTTTTTTCCTGGTGTGAGATTGATGTTCAGTACAAGAACATATTGGTTAAGAATCATTTCACACTTCTATTCACTCCATTCTTTCTTATTTCTCTGAAGTCTTCTCCAACGACTGGATGGAAAGTCCAAGGACATTTCAAAGATTGCGGCTGACATCACTCAGAATGTGTCTCTGCGACAAGGCATGGAGAGAAAGAAAGTCATCCAGCACATCAGGGGACTCTATAAGACTGACCTCAGCGCCAGCCGACACTGGCAGGAGCTGGTGCAGCAACTCACGCATGACCGGTAGGCATCCGCGTTTATCTCTCACAGGGGCTTACGCAAATTGCCGAGCTTTACTGATTCACAGCTTAGAGCTAAATGCTAATATCAGCACGCTAACATGTTCATAAGCGACAATACTAACATGCTGATGTTTAGAATGTTCACCTTTTAGTTTCGTATATTAGAATTCAAACTTTTGCTAATTAGAATAAACTATTTGACTTGCTGGTAGCAATACATGATAAGGTAACAGATCACTAAAGTTATTATTATTGATTCTGAGGAGCACATGGCAGTCCCTACAGCAGTTGTTGAGAAACTATATTGAGGGCATGATCTTGGTGTCCTCAGTGATAGCTACGGCTTTGTAATGAGGTTACCTTTGTATTGATATGATAAGACAAACCGTTTGAGAGGACTTTAATGGTCTGTTTCAGTGCGGTTTGGTACGACCAGACATCCTACCCAACGTCGTGGCAGCTGGACCCCACCGAAGGGCCGAACCGGGAGCGAAGGCGGTTACAGAGATGCTACCTCACCATTCCTAACAAATACCTGCTCAAAGACAGACGCAAGTTTGAAGGTAAATAAACGTTTTTACTTCCAGCAGTATGGCAAGATTCTGTCTTGTGCTAGTGTGTCTGTCTCCTTCAGCGTTCTTATTTTGACCTCCACGTCTTTTTAAGACACAGTGAAGCCCCCGTTGTCCTTCCTGGTTGAGGATAAGACCCACTCCTCCTTCTCCTCCACTGTCAAAGACAAAGCCACCAGCGAGCCCATCAGGTACATTTTTTTTTTAAACCTCTCTCACTCTTCCTGCCTGTAAGCCTTCAGTGAGCATCAAATCCCTCTCAGAAGGACAGGGTGATCTCAGGAAGTCACATAAATGTCTCATCAACTTGTGCTACGTTGATGATTGTCTATGCTTTATTCAGATGGTGTGTTTCTTGTATGATAAATGTCTCTTTGGCCTTAGGTTCACCAGACGGTGCATCAGCGTCGCCCCCTCCAGAGAGACAGCAGGGGAGTTACTTCTGGGTAAGACACTGACCATCTCTCACAGCTGCTCCATGCATAATAGACTCAGCCGGTCACAAGGCACAGAGAGTAATGTGCTCTCTCTGAGGCACTACAGATTATTGCTCTCCCCTGTTTGTTAGTTATTCAGCAGGGGAAGCTTTAGTTTGTTTTGTTCTCAGTTCCCCAAATCTCACTCACCCTGTTGTTGTGTCACAGGAAAGTCTGGGATGTACTTTGTGGAGGACAACGCTGCCGATGCTCATGACAACCAGGTAAAGCCAGAGGACTGTTCAGGATTATTCTCTGCCAAAAGGGGTTACCGCCTGGCGTCTCAAGACCGGATGTGTTTGTGTTTGGATAGAGCCTTCATGGGGAGACTGAGGCACCCTCTTTCTCCTGGACGTACGAGGAGATTAAGGAGGTGCACAAGCGCTGGTGGCAGCTAAGAGACAACGCTGTGGAGATATTCCTCACCAATGGCAGGACCCTGCTGTTAGCCTTTGACAACAATAAGGTGAGGCAAAAACACAGGTCGCTTAGAATGAAAATGAAGGATGCCATGCTGTGACTGGAAAGTTGACATTTTTTTTTTATTAATGACATACAGTAGATGGTCTAGTGTTTTTCCTTAAGTTGTTTCATTTCATTATTGCAAAGAATTGAGTTGGCTTATCATCCTAAGAGAGAAATTCAGCCTATGTTTTATTTGGATATAAAAATGAAGCTACACAGATTGGACTGGGATGAAAAGACGAAAGAGCCGACTGATGCTCAAATAAATAGTTTTTTATGAAAAGACAAAATCACGCAGCTTGAAAAAATATAATTGTTAAAATGCCTTTTTGGTATTCCGCCCCTGATAACTGCAGAGCTCTGTAGTGTTCTATGCCATCAGTCATGAGGATAAGATACAGTACTGTCATACTCTACAGGAAAAACACTTCTGTAAATTACTCGAATAGAGAAGATAAAGATGAGATTTACTTTATTGTCCCGCAGAGAAATTTGTCTGCGGCTCCAAGCCGCTGCGTCACACAATACACTTGCACATAGAGAACATAGATCAAAACATGAACATGAACATAAACATGCTTAAATACACATGTCGACAATAGTTACAAATAGTAAAATAATATAACCAGGTGTGATCAACATAGATAATAAATAATCAAGTCACAATATATTATTCCCCAATAAAATCATATCATATTATACTACTTGTTGCTATTTAGTAATTTGATGGAAGATGTAATAAATGAAATCGTGTTATGATATGGTTGGAAAACAGACATTTAAGCAAGTCTACGTTTTACAGCAGGTATTTCCAATCCAGAAGCATCAAAGGAAGTAAAGACGTGCTCAGCACGTGGAGGCCAAACTGATTATCTGTCCTCTGATTGTCTGTGGACTCGCAAAAACCTTTCCTGGATGAACGGGCACAATCATTTTTTCCTGTGCATTCATTTCTATTTTAGACTGATATGTAATATTTCTAATTCTAATGTTTCAACTACCGTTGGATGGTTGTGAGGTTGTGCTCAGTATGTTATGCATTTATTGATAGTCGACAGAGGAGACATGACAGGAAACAAAGGTGTGACTTTACATTACATTTGTCAGTTAGTACTTTCTACATGTTTAGCTTCAGTCGTGACTCTAGAGATGGAAACATCCCGTGGTTCTCTCTTTTCTCGCCTTAGTTCCGTGACGACGTCTACCACAACATCCTGACCTCTGACCTGCCCAACCTGCTGGAGCACGGAAACATCACGGCGCTCACTCAGCTGTGGGGCTCGGGTCAGATCTCTAACTTCGAGTACCTGACGCATCTCAACAAGCACGCAGGCCGCTCCTTCAACGACCTCATGCAGTACCCGGTGTTTCCCTTTATTTTGCGAGATTACACCAGCGAGACGATCGACCTGCAGGACACAAACATCTACAGGTCAGTGGTTGATGGCAGCTTTGTTAATGTGTTTGGAAAGGCATTTGAGGTATTTCATTCGGTTTTAAAAATAAATAAGATTTTATATGTTATTGAGATTATTCTTGGGCACTGTATAAAATATATGTAAATGCACCTCCTTGATGTACATACTGTAGGTCCTAAAATAAGTATAGCTTTCAAACATTTTTAAGTTTGTCCAGTTTATGCCAGAGCCATTCCGTACCATGATTTTAAATCAAGACAAATTTATTTTTTGATAAGCTAAACTAAAGGTCAAGACTCATGACACAGGAATCATTAATAATAGGTTAATTTTCATTTGTCACAGTTGAACACCATGGTTCATTACAGCTTTGCTTGTATTTTGTTGTCATGCAGGAATTTAATCAAACCCATCGCAGTCCAATCAAAAGAGAAAGAAGATCGCTACGTGGATAACTACAGGGTATGGCCTGTTGTACATTTTAGCATGTGATTCTTGAGTGTAGTGAATGTTCTGATAAGAAAACGTTTGTGTGTTGTGCAGTACCTTGAGGAGGAGTACAAGAAGGGCATTCGGGAAGACGACCCCATGCCTCCTGTCCAGCCTTACCACTACGGCTCACATTACTCCAACAGCGGCACTGTGCTGCACTTCCTGGTTCGAATGCCTCCGTTCACCAAGATGTTCCTCGCATACCAGGGTAGGTCACGCATTATGTTTTACTAACCGTTAAGGAAGAAAAATGATTCAGCTGCGTTGTCTTTTACAGTATCTTTAGTTTCCAAAAGTAAGTGTGAACTGACTGACAGGCCAGTGCTTTTTAACAGTAGGTCATTTTCATGCACCTCCAAAAAGCTTTTAGCGTCACAGAGTGCCGCCTGTCTACATTACATTGACTGCTCCATCTTGGTTGATGCTGAGGCTTTTAGTACTGAAAAGTTGGAACGTCCTGATCTCGGATCTGACTGAGCAGCATGTTGCCATAGTCGCGTGTCATCTCATGTATCAGCCATAAAAGGTTACTTCATTTCTATACTTTTCTCTGATCGACTCCTCGCCCTTCCCTTCCTTTTTTTTCTATGTCCTCCTTTCTTGTTAATTATTTTTTCATTTTTCCGTCGCTCTCCTCTGATCCTCTGAGGCATCTTTTCATGTGATTGTAAATGTATTCAGCAAGCGTGGTGTCTGAGGTCATGAAAGGGGATCTTTTCAATCAGTGAGTAGAATCTGTAATTAGATTGTCTTTTTTGCCTTAATCAGACCAGAGCTTTGATATTCCGGACCGGACGTTTCACTCTATGAACACCACGTGGCGCCTGTCCTCCTACGAGTCCATGACTGACGTTAAGGAGCTCATCCCTGAGTTTTTCTACCTCCCAGAATTCCTGGTCAACAGAGAGGGTAATTATTTTCCACTACAATGTATACCTTTAATTAATCTATATACCTATCATTTACACCAGCATACATTTTTCATATCTACTCATTAATTAAAAAAGTGGTAAAAAGAATAAATAGAAATGTCCTTCACAGGTTTTGATTTTGGTGTTCGTCAAAATGGTGAGAGAGTGAATCATGTGAATTTGCCGCCCTGGGCCCGCAACGACCCACGTCTGTTCATCCTGATCCACCGGCAAGCGCTCGAGTCGGACCAGGTCTCCCAGACACTGTGCCAGTGGATCGACCTGGTGTTTGGGCTCAAGCAGAAAGGCAAAGCAGCCGTCCACGCCATCAATGTCTTCCACCCAGCTGTAAGTAGCTGCTTGTTTCCCGTTTGATAGAAATTATTGGGAAAGTTGTTGTTGTTGTTGTTGTTGCTTACAAAAGCCTTCATATCATTTTTCGCAGACTTATTTTGGCATGGACGTTTCGTCTGTAGAAGACCCAGTGCAGCGACGGGCCCTGGAGACGATGATCAAAACATACGGACAGACACCCAGGCAGCTCTTCAACGCCTCTCATGTCAGCAGGGCCGGCCCCAAACTCATAATGGAGGGGGAGCTGCCGGCAGCCATGGGTCTCCTAGTTCAGCTGGCCTTCAGAGAAACACGAGAACAGGCCAAAGAAATAGTCTGCCCGGTAATCTGCTCTGTGATGATAGTGACTCTGGCAGCCCGCTGTGCGCTGAGGAATGACATAATGCATCGTCGCATGAAATGATCCGCTGCTCACCTGCCAATTTCCTCTTCCTCCCCAACAGAGCCCACTGCCGTGGATCAAAGGTCTGAAGTGGGGCGAGTATGTGGGCTCGCCCTCTGCTCCAGACCCAGTGGTGTGCTTCAGTCAGCCACACGGGGAGAGGTTCGGATCCCTGCTGGCTCTACCAACGCGAGCCATCTGCGGGCTGTCTCGCAAGTTCTGCCTCATGATGATTTACAGCAAGGAGCAGGGTAGGACGCCCACCAGTCGCTCAGCCTGGATGTACTGTACTGGTTTGCACAATGTCCTGCTGACTCAATTAACTTAATGCTCTCTACTCCGTAGGTGTTCGGAGCATGCACAACACAGACATCCAGTGGTCGGCCATCTTGAGCTGGGGCTATGCAGACAACATATTGAGGCTGAAAAGCAAGCAGAGTGAACCGCCTATCAACTTCATTCAGTGTTCACAACTGCACCAGGTAGACACGAGTTAAACTCAGGCTTAAAAATAAAATTAAAAACAGAGCACCTGAAAGTGAAAGGGTTCACTGGTCTCCTCTCAGTGTTACGCAACTCTACACTGAGGATCGACCAATAAGATGTCAGGGTTCTCGTTTCCTCTGTCCCAACCGTCTGTCTCTCTCTCCTCCAGGTGACCAGCTGCGCCTGGGTGCCTGATGGCTGCCAGCTATTCACAGGCAGCAAGTGTGGAGTCATCACCGCCTACAGCAACCGCTTCACCAGCACCACGGTGGGTTTCCATGGCGACCTCCCCCTCTAACCTTCCGCCTCCACATCAACACCCAATCCACCCACCCACCTCCCATTACCCACCCCTACCCCTCTGTAGACCGCCTCACCGTGCTCAAACGCTCGGCTTCATTAGTCACATCACAGTTGCCCTTGAAACACATTTCCACTGAGCCTACAAGTGGGCTTAGAGGTCCCGGAGTTCAGTCATCAGAGAGGCTTTCTGACTTTCATCGGTCCCTACCAATAGGCATCTAGATTTCCAGTTTTTTTTTTTTTTTTCTGTCTCTGAAGTGTGTTCCAAAAGCAATTGATTTGTGCTGTTCAGAAAATCCTGGTTGGAGATTCATTAATGTAGTGTTTTTAGGAAACGGTAAACGCCGACGTACCTCATCCAATGCTATTCAGGTGTGCATGTCCTCTGTATACAGTCTCTGATATGTGTCTTTCCACAGCCGTCGGAGATGGAGGTGGAATCTAAGGTTCATCTTTACGGACACACGGGGGAAGTAACCAGCCTGTTTGTCTGCAAACCTTACAGCATCCTCATCAGTGTCAGCCAAGACGGCACCTGTATCCTCTGGGACCTGAACAGGTCAGTGTGTGAGGGATACGAAGAAAAAGCTTTAATGATATCCTTTATTGTGTGACGAGGAATCTAAAGTAAAGTGATGCTCTGTGTTTCTTCAGGCTCTGTTACGTACAAAGCCTCACAGGCCACAAAAGCCCCGTGACTGCAGTGTCTGCCAGCGAGACCACGGGGGACATTGCAACAGTTTGTGACTCAGGTGAAGACCGCTCTGCTCCAGCTCCTGTCCGAGTTCACCGTGCCACTTTTCCAGACTGACACAATGTTGACGTGACTTATGACACTTATGATTCTGTGTATCCAGTGGGCGGAGGCAGCGACCTGCGTCTGTGGACAGTGAACGGCGACCTCATCGGTCACGTCCACTGCAGAGAGATCATCTGCTCCGTGGCCTTCTCCAACCAGCCGGAGGGAGTGTCTGTCAACGTCATCGCCGGCGGGCTGGAGAATGGCGTCGTCAGGTGAGCAGGCACCCGTTTGCTTCCTTTCTCAAGACAATGAATTATTCACACTAGTGTGTTTTTTTTTAATGTGTGAAATATTTCCAGGTTGTGGAGCACCTGGGATTTAAAACCAGTGAGAGAGATCACCTTTTCCAAGTCAAGCAAACCCATCATCAGGTATTTCATCAGCGCTCCAAAGATTGTTGTTCTTTGCTTTTATGTAATGCCACTTATCACCATTCAAAATATATGTGTGATTCTGTTGGAAATACTGATGATGATGATGTCCCCTCAGCCTGACGTACTCGTGTGACGGCCACCACCTCTACACAGCCAATAGCGAGGGCACAGTGATGGCGTGGTGTCGGCGGGACCAGCAGCGCATGAAGCTGCCCATGTTCTACTCCTTCCTCAGCAGCTACGCTGCAGGCTGACTGTGTTTCTGATGTTTACTACTGTCCAGTTCTCAGCAAGAGGAGCCCCCCTCCTCCTCCTCCCCCTCCTCCCCCTCCTCTCTGCACTAACAGGGAGGAGGATGTGTCAGCATGGCCTCAATCTCCCTGAACCCTCCCTATCTTTTAACTAAAGCCATCCCCAGCTGAGCAAACTCTACCACAGCCGCTCTCAGCATCATAAAATAATTATGAAAATATATGTATATAGATATATATTTATAAACATACTGAAGTGGAATGTTGGGGAGAATGGATGAATATTTGGCTGAGGCTGCAACAGACACTTTATATACAAAATGCATTTCTGAGGGTGTGTTTGATTTGTTAAGTCTTATATTATTTTGTTAATTGCCGTTATTGTTGTGCAGATCTTTGCCTGATTGCCTGTTGATTTTCCTGTTTCCTGGTAAGCTGCTATCTTCTGGCCAAAGCCGGACCCAAAGTGTTAAGACCCCCGTCTCTCGCCTCGTGGATGAGCTCGTATTTCCCGTGGCGCGTCGTCCTCTGACAGATTGCTGCCGGAGCTCGGCGAAGGCGTCCTGCTGACGCTGCAGTAGCCAGGAGAGAGAGGGAGCCCCTCCTCGCGTCTGTCGCCAGGAGATGGCCCCGCTCTGTGGGAGTGAGACGCCGCTCTGCTGGGCTGTCTGCTCCACTCAAGTCTGCACACGAGTGTCACGGCCCTGCATCACTGAGCTGCATTCGAGCTCAGTGGAGGGACGGGGGGGACGTTGGGATGAATTGTTCCTTGTGTTGCCTGTTGTTCTGTCCTACTTTTGCATGCTAGAATGATGCTGACCTTGACAGTATGTATGTGGTTGTGACATTTACTGTCATGGTACTCCTTTATTAAGGCCTGCCTTGGTTGCGCCTGTCCTCTTGCATTGAGAGATGTTGATATTCATTTATTTATTAGAAGCACCTCGGAGGCTCATCTTTCCTTTCCTTTTTCTTGTGTTTTACTGACTTAATAAACTGTCCGCTGCTCAAATGCACTAAAACCTTTTCACTAACCTAATATAGTTTGCTGAAATTCTGAGAAATTACCAAACAGCATTAGATGCCTGAAAGCTGCAGAAGAAGCCAAGAGGAATCTCCTGAATGCCCCCGTCGCTGAGCTACCAAAAAGGGTGTAGTAGGTGGGTGGGCGTAGTGAGGAGCATCATGTCCAGCCGACTGAGGTTAGAACAGTTAGCGTTTCCTGCACTAATGAGGTTTACAGCTTGTTTCTTAATCTTATACATTACACTAATCAGTCCAGGAAATACTCAACCAAACATTAATTTCCTTAACCCATCCATGGGTCCGTGCAGCTATTCTTTACATTCCCTCTTTGCCTACGATACTTTCAGTTTGTCTGTATAATATGTGTGAAATGATGGGCAAAGCACTTTTTTTTTGTTTATAAGCTACCATTTAATTGAAGGAGAGCTAATGATCTGTGGTCTTAACATGAACTAAGCTTTGATTTCATTCCATTAATAAGTCTACTTAAGAAAGCAATATCAGACACGCAATAGGTCATTTTTGTCATGTTTCATATGGAGTTTGTTTTAACACAGCTGTGAAGATGACGTTTGGCTTTTGTTTTGACTGCAGTGAGCCTTCTGTGATGAGAAATGTCTTAAATTTCACACCTGGTGTTTCACTTGTTTACAAGAAAGGGAATATTGCTTCTTATATCATGACGTCATTCCTTTTGTGGTGTTATCTTGGTATTTTTTTTTCCTTCTCAGCCCATCAGGACCCTTGTGTGCAGCACCAGGCCTGTACAGGACATGATGTTGGCGTTTGTTTACTGCGTCTCCTGCTTTCTTGTGTACATGCATTTCCTCCTTGACATTTATAAAGGTGTATGTCTATGAGATCCGCAACCTTTTCTTTTCTCTCGAACATCCTCGTGTGAGATTGTATGAATGTTTTCCCCCCTTTTATTGAGAAAGTGGCAAAAAGACGAGAGGAAAATGTTATTATTGGCAAAGTGTTTTTTTTGTGCTATCTGACACGGAAGGAAATATATTTTTTCTGTTAATTTAAGAATTTAAGATCATTGAGTTGCTGAAATTGTGTCATTTAATTGACCTCTCCGGGCTCGTTTCTGCAGTTTGGCATCATGGATTGAGGTTCTGAAAGGACGTGTTTTGTTTATTTTTGTTTGTATATATATATATGTGTGTGTGTGTGTGTATGGACAAGCAAAGTGATGAGTATATTATAAATATATATAAATATTTGAAGAGATATGACAACATCTTGTGGTTTGTGTCTATTTGTGTGGTGCTTTCAGGGGCACAAGAAACCAAGGTGAAACTGCAAAAATGACTTAGATCAGAAGCACGACAAGGAGGAAAAATTGATTATGATTCAAATTGATGGAATCGAGCTATTTAATCTGGATGCAAATTCCCCCAAAGAGCAGTGCTGTTATGGATGAGGCCCGGCAGTTACTATGGGGGGAACCCGGTGATGTCAAAGCTGATGTAAAAAATGAAATGGGGAAGCCTGCAGATCTCCGGTGCCTTCTGCAGCAATAAAGAAAAATTAGAAAAAACAGCGGACGCTTATTCGACTAATGGGCTGTCTCGGTGCGTTTAGGGCCAGTTCGTACAGCAGAAACGCATCCGGGCTTGTTGCTGCTGCAGCTACGGGTCCTCTGATCGAGTGCTCCCTGCCCTACAGCCTGTATCTCATCGTCATACAGAGGTTTCCCCCCCTGCTGCATGCGTAACATCTCTCCAAGTCCAGCCGTGGTGCTCACCAAGACCTCACCGCTTGGCTCTCATCTTCCTACACGGAATACGCACGACTCGCATTGAGCGAACCGCTGAGGCGAAATTAAAACGCCAGGATTTACCTCCTCGGGTTCAGTCCAGACCGAAACGAGGCTGGGATTTCCTCTTATCATTTGATATTTGACAGATCCTCTTTTTTTTTTTTGTGTGTGTGTGTGTGTTGGGTGGAGTCAACCCGGAATTCTCCAAATTGGAAAACCATTGGCACATTTCAGGTAGGTCGGCGGCAGTAGCCTACATTAATCTGCTCCTAGCCGAGCAATGCAGCGAAGCATCAAGATGTTTTTTTTTTTTAATGTAATGTCTTCATGCAAAATATTTTGTTTTGTTTTCGTGATGTGTGGTTCGCTGTCTTCTGCTCTGACCAGGGCCGCAGCTCGCACGGCGTGTGTGCACAATTTAATCCCTTTTAGAAATAAGAGTCGCCCATGTTTGACAGATCTGCATCAACAATTAGCATCGTTACATTCGGATAAAACGGTGTAGACCCCGTTAAAGCCCCTGATGTAGCCGTGTGAGCTTAAGGATGGGCGACTCGAAGGGAAACCTAAATGGAAAAGGCCTGATAGCGTCCTACGAGGGTGTGAATAAAAGCTATAAATTGGCTTTAGAGCCATGAAGGGTGGGATTGGAAAATGAATTCACCGTCTGCATCCCCCTTTACAAAACATCTGCCCGATAATATCCGTTTGAAAACACTTAAATTCGACTTGATGCGATGAAGATGAAATAAATAAGCAAATCGATGCCAAAAAAAAAAAAATCCACAGTCAGTGAATTGATCCAACTGCACCCCTCCTCAGTCAAATGCTTCATATTTTACATGTACATTATTATAAAACATCTGTGGTCAGGTGTCATCTCTCACTGCTGTGGCTGTCATACTGGGACATTTCAGAAGTGAGGGGGGTCAAGGGGCCTCAAATGAGAGCAGGATTTAGTCATTAGGCTACATATTGATAGATGCACAGAAAGGCTGATTACAATGGGGCAGATTAAATCGCTGCAGTTGCATTGATGCCCACTGTGGAGAAAGTTGAGAGGATGAAGGCAAAGAGTGGAGCTTTCTTCTCCAATCTGTAGGTGCAGGGGCAGAGGAAGCAAAGTTGCAGGTCCGATTCCCTTGGAAAGGTCCTAGAACTGACAATTAAAAGGACATACGGCGACATAAACCCCAAAATGTGTGCTTAAGTACCCTTGAGCAAATAAGAACAACTTGACCAAAAATCAAAAAATAATCATGCATGAGCACTGACTGTAAAATGACAAATCGCTGTCCAGCTGCTGCCTTTTTGAGCTCTTTCTTCAGATAAAATGGAGCTTGGCTGCTGTAAAACAGATTCCCCCAGACAAAATGGGTCCTTTGAATAAAAAGGTTGTGGCAGAGAATGGCTGCTCCAAGGGGGGGTAGAGACATCGCCAGGGGTGATGCTGCTTTGTGGATTTAATGTGATGTTCATTGACTCTACGTGTCCCCCTTTTGTGCCTGTGTTTGGTGTCACAGGAGCACCATGAAGGACGGTATCGCCAACAACAGCACGGCCAGCATCTCCCAAGCCAGGAAAGCTGTGGAGCAGCTGAAGATGGAGGCCTGCATGGATAGGATAAAGGTACTTTTTTTTTCTATTTGTGTCTGTGAGCAAATATTTGCATGGGTTTCTATTTGCTCAAACATGCAGTGTGTGGATTTAGAAATAAATCTGGCTGGTGTACATTATTCTAAACACTTTATCGGTCATTATACTTGTTGGAAGCTTTGCTTATTGGCACTTTATGCAGCTACACGCTTTGTTAGGTCTGTATATTAATGTGAATAATGTGATACAAATCTGTGTGTTTATCTAACCCCCACTGATTTAGACACATTAAGTGTTTGGAGCAATACAATATCCTCTTCTTGATGAGTGACCGACTTCAGCTCCCAGCAAACATTTCATTTTTTATTAATTGAATGTCCAAACAAGAAAATGCCTCGCTTAGAATTGGCAACGTTATCCAACTTGCCTCTCACGGCTTAAAATATGCACACAATAAATTCTGTCAATGCTAGTTTTCATTTAGCTAACTCAATAGCCAGGCTTACACACAGATGCTAATAATTATAAAACACCTCTGGCTGCATGTTCCTTCATCACGATGAATCCTGTTGTTTATTTTGACTCAATCCCACGTACTGTTCACTGATCTGCTGCTAGATATACTCGCTAGTGCACCAAATGTGTATTAATCCGCTTCTCAAATGAGTCCCCTTTTGATACACTATGTAGTCCTGATTGAGTAACATTTGATAAAAGCTTACTGTGCCAAACTGTTTTGGGAAATTCCTGAGCTGCTACTACTACTACTGTTTTTGTTTTTTGAAATGAAAGTATGTATTGACACATTTTGGGTTTTGGTCATTTTAATGGGCTTTGACAGCGTTATGCTTTAAACCCTAAACAGGGAGAATGTTGAGAGGACCAAGCCATCATCTCCTCTGTGACGAACTATACCTTCTGCCATTTTGCCATTTTAAACCTTCAAACACAAAATTAAAATAAAATGTTTGACATTTTGTGAAATAGCCTGGTTTGCGAGAGTCAGATGAAAAAATGAAAGAACCGTGTTGATTAGGGAACTTTAGAGGGCTTGGAAGAGGAATTTTGTTATCTTCAGTGTCAGCCAGGCTAGCTGTTTCCCCCTCGTTTAGTCTTTATGCTAAGCTAAGCTAACTGCTGCTCTCTCGAAGCGCATATTTACTGAAGAGTGAGACGTGAGACGGATATTGTCCTTCTCATCTAACTCTCCATCAGAAAGCGAATCAGTGTATTTCCCAAAATAGTACTACGTCTTAAATTTAAATGCAGAAACAGACAGTGTATCAACTTGTCACTAGATACAGCCCTCATGTTGATACTTACGTCCACTATTGCGCGCTATTTGCCATCTCAGTGCATAATGACTGAATTAACCCATATATTGGGCTGGTACAGTAGCAGTGAATCATCACAATCATCTTGTATCAGTCCTTCATGAAGTTTATGTTCTTTAAGGTACTTTTTCACAAAAAAAGGATCAAAACTGATGAAGCAGAACCAGATATATATCATATCTTATATTCCACACATTCATCTTCCTTGTCAAAGGGAAGCCTCTAGCGTCGACCAGAGACAAGCAGCTGGCTACAGAGGTCTGGCAAGCTTAGTCTAGAGCAGTTTCTTCTGACGGTCGTCACATGAAGCATCAGTTCACCTTGTCAGCACCGGCGTTGCCACCTCTCTGTCAGAGTTCATCCACTGTGAACAGCTGGGAGACCCGAGTAGCACCATTGTGGTAACTGTGAGGAACAAACCCAGAGGCATGCTGGGCTTCGGTGACTGTTGACCGCTGCTGACATTAGTTTTCCACCAATTTGGGTCATCTTCTCTGAGTGTGATCACAGGGATTGTCCTTTGTTAGCACTCATGTAGGCTTCTTCTCAACTTGCATTGCCAGTGAGGTCTCTGGTTCAAATTCCCAGTTGCAGCAAAGAAAATGTGGACATTCAAATTAGTTTGCTTGCTCTATAATCATATTCCTGATACCCATCACCCCCTGCAGCTCCATCAGGCCTCATAAAGAGTATGTGTCCTTATCAAACAACACAACATTGACTTTTGAGCCCTTTATGGTTGAGTTCAGTCACCATGCTTTAAAATGTAATAATATTCTAACTGTATATAGAGATTTCTATTATCCATTCATTAGATCGAACCATTTAAGGTGGAGGCTGTCCATGAGCTACTTCTTGTGCAACTTAAAAGGCTGTGTCACCATCTCATTCGGTATGCTCCTCATGTGCTGAGGGAATGATTGCCCCACAGCCCAGAGGCTGTTCACTCAGCATTATAGCCAGGGCCTGGAAGCCTGCCATACACCATCATCCCTACTCAGCACAACAAAGGCTGCTTACAAGAAAAACCTCCTCTTCTTCAAAAAACCAAGTGATTATCCCCAACGTGTAATCAGGGTTTGAAAGATGTGTCAGGAAGAACCCTAATTTAACCTACAAGTTGACTTTTTGGCACAACGTCTCATTTAAATCCTTTGCAGATATTTACATGTTTTTTAATGAGAAGAGTTGGATTTAAAGCGCCAGTGTGTTGGTTTAGGGGAATCTATTGTCAGAAATTGGAATAAAGTATTCATTGTTGTGTTTTCATCAGTGTATAATCACCTGAAACTAAGAATTGTTGTGTTTTCATTCGAATAAGCCTTTCATTTCTACAGAGCAGGTCCTGTTTCACAGAGTCTGCCATGTTTCTACGGTAGCCCAGAATGGACATACCAAACACGGCCTTAAGAGCAATTACATCCTACACACTGGTCCTTTATTATACTCCTACTCTTATTCAGATATAATCATGTCAGTCAAGAAGTCATTTTCATTTTGATTGTTAAAGCAACTTTACCATCATGTTTAAAAAAAAAACGAAAAATACTATTTACTTTTAGTGGATACAGAAATGTACAAAAGAAATATAAATAACCTTAAACACAAAACATACAATATTACAACCAACTTTTCCAGTAAATGTTTAAACAATACAATATTTTCATTCTAGCAATTAATAGAAAGGTTTAATCCTCGAGTGTTTCACCTCAAAACAGTAAATTGAGTGAAACCACATCAATATTGCCATTAAACTGCAAATCAGAATATGTATCTTGAAGCATGAACGTGTTCAGTTGTATTTGTTTATGATTGAATGGCAATTCATTTTAATAGTAGCAGTCTGTGACATTATTATATTAGTACTCTTTTGAATATGGTAGTAAAGATGTATCCTTTAATGTACTTTATTGGATACAGTGATAAGACATACTGTCGCATCCGGCAGCCATATGAGGTCTTCTCTTTTTGGGGGTATTGGGCAACAGTGGCTTCTAGTTCTTCCAGTTTTTAGACGGAGCCTTTAACTTTAGCTGTTTCAGCAGAATATAAATCATTTGAGTCGATAGTAGTTAGTAGTTAAAGTTGTTGATTCATGTGCTGCTCGTGGTTCTTCTCTGGCTGACTTGAGACACTGAAAACACAGGGACTGATGCCACGTTCACATCATTGTTACGGAATGAAAAGAAAATGAACCAGAAATACGCGTTTCGCACTACTAGTTTGTTTTGAGTGAAAGTAATAAATGCAATACAATTAGTGGTGATAGCCATTATGATTGACAATAGAAAAACTGAATATCCAAGAATATCAGTATGGGTCATTGAGCAAGAATAATAGCACAAGCATCAAACATAACAAAGTCTTTAAAGGTGTTTATTAGCATTCATAATAACTTGCTGTCATGCCTACAATTGTGTGCAAGGCAAACAAGCTTTCTCTCTGTATAGTGCTGCTGAAAATGAAGTGTAAATGATAAAAAGTGTAAAATGATGCTCTGTTAAATGAGCTGAGAAGTGTTCAGATAACATTGTGTCTGAGTAGATTTGACTTGTCAGTTTTATTGTCACCTTAGCATTTTATGGAAAAAGACATGGCAGACTTGAATGTAACCGAATCTTAAATGTCACATCTGATCTCTATTCACTCAGCTCCATAGTGGGTCTGACAAATATCTAAGCTTTCTGAATAATTGACCTCTGCCGTCTTATTTGGGTCATCTTTGCTCTCATGTGAAAACCTTTTCAGCAAGATTAACCACAGCTTCGACTTATAAGAGACAAAGCTGTGTTAGTTTATTTTTACAGGAAGACGAACAACCTTGTTCCTTTGCTTGATCGGCACATTTGAGTTCATTTAATGAGTTTTGTTTGTGTTTAATCTGACCAGAACTTCTCAACTCCTAAAAAAACACAACATCTGTAATCAAGTAAAACATGACATTAATATAGTTTGGTTTTCAGCCAACCATGAGGACATTAATCTGAAACATTTGGCAAGAGGCGCTGGGTTCACATACGGTTGTATTCTTTGTTTCAGTGCTGACATTTCTTCACAAATGATTAGCCATAATAATGTCCCAAGAAAAACGGAATGAATGCATTAAGGAAGGAAAAGGTTTCCACTGAACAAGACAGCAGACCACATTAGGCCTTAGGCAGTTCTAAATATTATATTAAGTTTTTTAAATAACGTTTTTTCTAATTTGAAAGTGAGAAAATAACTTAAGATGAGAGAGTTGGTGTGTCCCTCTAAAAATGTATTTTAGCGTGATCAGCATAATTTCACATCTGTATTATTTTCTGAGCAGCAGCTGTTTGTGCTTTAACAACTACTTCCACATCAGATGTGGAGATCCAAGTCATTCTTCAACTCTTCTCAACGTCCTCAAAAAAGAGCCACTGAAGTAGAACGTGGCTGCAAAGGAAAGCAGAGAAGAGTTCAAAGAAAGAGGAGGAAACAGACAGTTGGCCACGTCAGGCGATCCCTTAAATTGAATTAAGGGATCTGATGAAGGAGAGAGTGTATCAGTGACAAGAGGAGTCTCTGTGCTGCTGATTGAGGGATCACCACGTTCTCATTAATTGCTCAATCAGCCAAAGGAATGTGATCTGTGCTAATTAGAAGGACTCTCCTTCCATCACGGGGCTGCAGTGTAATTACAGTCAGTCTGGGCTATAATGACACACTGTGCAATACCACTTTTTGTCCTGTGGGGCTCTCGTTGTCTGCAGAAACTCTGGCTGCAGTTACACAATAGTATAATTATTGCATTTTCTTTGATTATAAGAGTAATTAAGCTGTTTGGGTGCATCGCAAGTGCCAGCTTTAGTAATGTTCCCACTTTGTGCAAACTCCAATTAGTGCCGGAGAAAGGTCCAATAGAGACAGAAATTTGACATAAAAATGCAGAAAAAACATAGTTTACTGTTAAATATATGTATTGTGTCCTCTGAGTGAGCAGAATTTGACTATGACTGTCTTCTAATGTGACTAATGTAACTGCTCTGAGAGTATGACCTTAATACAATAGCCCAGTTAGATCAGAATAGGTGTAGGTCTAACTCACCAAATACCTGTTAAACTATTGACATTCTGATCGTCTGCTTTTCATTTTGTCTAAGTGCAGCCCCACAGAGCAGCGAGCACGGCTGTGAACCCTTCATCTTGTTTCAAAGTTACTGGTACAGCATGAGATACTCAGTGGTTCCCAAACTTTTGACTTTATTTGACCCCTTAAAATGAAGCAATGACCTCTTTTGAAGGATCTCTAGATGCCCTGTTGTGCTAAAAGTATCCAGTGTCCTGAACCCTTGGTGGGGGACCACTGAGGTAAAGACACGGCACGAAAACCTTCGGGATTTTCCTTCAAAGATGCAAAAAATCTACCTTTATTTTCTGGTATTTATTCTTAGATAGCTGTCTATTTTAATGTGAAAGGCGTCTAACAAGTTGACAGGATACGACCAAATGTGTATTAATCCATGGCTAAAAATAGTCCCAATGCACAATCATTCACCACTGTTTGAGTAACATTTGTTAGAAACTACAATGCCCGGCTGTTTGAGGAGATTTCAGAGCCCTTTTTAAAAGGGAATGTATATATTTGAGAGCTGTTTTAGTAGATTTACATCTTCAGTAGGAACAGAAGAAGTCAGAAAGAACTGAGAGACTGACTAACGCGTAGTTGGTTACGGTCTTTTCATGGGATTTGTTGACGATAAGAAAAATGTAGAATAACCCAAGCCTTATTGTTCCTTTTAAAATACAGAAACAACCCTTGAGACATCTTATTTTATGCTGTGAGACTGTAAAAATGGTAATGTAATATTCCACATTGAAGGCTAAAGCTGAATGATGGATTTTGTGCGTTTAATTCTCTTGTGAGAGCAGCAGTGAGTGAGGTGAAATGGCACACAGGAGATCAGATGGCTCTGTCCTCGACGTGGATCCCTGAGCCATCGACGTGGATCCCTGAGCCCTCGCCGTCCCTCCGATGCAGCTGCTCCTCTGCTCTCCATTTGCGGCCTCCCCCCTCCCATAACCTCCCACTTGGCTCCCGAGTAGAAACCTACATTCACATGCAGTCTGGCCGTACTGTAAAAATGTAAAGTCACTGTTTGACTTTGAAAAATGCACTACACGAGGCAGAAAGTGTGTTGTTTGCCCCGTCCTCCTTTCCCCTCAGCTATTTCAAGGTCCCGTCTTACCACCTGTCAGTCATGAGCTGTCTCTTCTTATTGCCTGAGGCCGACCTAAGCCAACGGGCATCAGTGCAGTCGCCACAGGCACTGACGAATCAGAAACACAGGCAATATGCAATTTCCAAGATTTTGGACATCTTTCGAAGTTTAGCTCCAAAAACGTTTTCTCTGAGAACGAACACACAGTGAGTTGCAGACCGGCGTGAACTTTAGTGCAAATCTATCAAAACACACACTAGAAGAGTCGCACAATTGTTCTCCAGTACTCCATGCTTCATTCACCTCGCAAAATTCATGACCATGAATACAAAATAGCAATACAAACCAACTTTTCAAAATGCTCCTCACAAAATACAATAATTCATCAGTGGTGGTGGTGTGGCTAAATGGATGGTAATGGCGGTCGTTCTGTCTGCAACTTTGCCACGACTATTTGATGTTTTTAGAAAAGCCGTTCATGGTCCCCACTGGATGAATCCTGATAACTTTGGTGATCCCTGGACATTTCTTCTTGTGCAACCATCAGGACAAAATTTCATCTGGTCCAATACAAGGGTTCAAGGATCACTAATTGTCATTCTGCAACAAAGAGTTGCACAACCAAATGCAGTTGTAGCCTAGTCCAATAATGCTACACAAGAAAACCATGTCAAAACAAAAACACCAGTGTATTCCTGTTGTGTATTAGTTTTGAATTTTCAGCTGGGGGAACAGCAGCAACATCAGAAATAAACATTGTCCATCAACTTTGACTATGTTTGAGCAGCATTAATGTAAACACAGAGTCCACCACCTCTCGTCCCACTGGAGTCCTGCGGTCTGCCCGTCAAGTGCAGCTTGATGCCACGAGGTCTCTTTAAAGATGTGGGCACAACAGTCACCGATCTCCCGTTGCTATGTTTGCCTGAAATCATATCTCATCCATCTTATTATCCTGCAGCCTGACATGATCCAGCCAGTAGCAGGCTGGGTAGTGACGTCGCCTTACATCCCAGCTGGGGACGCTTAGCTCCCAATCCCGTCCATCTCCTCTCTCCTCCTGGGGCAGTCAACTCCACTTTCTGTGGCGTTTGGTCCGGCAGGTCCAAAGGGGTCGGAGGATGATGATTGGCTTCTGGTCTGCTGCAGCTTATCCGATCCCGAAGCATCCTTCTCTGACGTTGATGAGTTTATCCTGTCAAATGCCATACCAACAAATTAAAACCAAAATAGTTTGTGTTATGACTAAATATATGCAAAACTAATGACGTTCCCATCAGCCTCGCCGTTTCTTTGGGTTGTACTTTAACACTTAACTCAATAAACTAAAATTCATATCAGTCAAAATAAATCCGCATCTGCATTGTGTAGTGTTCCAACTATTTGTGGGGTATTTTCTGCCTTTATTAGATAGCAACAGGGAGGAAATAAGAGTAAAGGATGGAGAGAGAAAGATGCAGCAACGGTCCCCGGCAAAGGTTACCTTAAGATTCAGGTAAAGAGATGGAGTCATGTGAAGGAGACATCTATGTGATCCAATGGTAGACACGCATCTTGAATTTATATAGCAGTTATTATGTAATAGTCAGAGAGACATCTAATCACCTATGCATGTCCTTTTCCTTTGTCTCAACATTTCAGGTCTCCAAAGCGGCTGCAGACCTGATGGCGTACTGCGACGCCCACATACGCGAGGACCCCCTCATCATGCCCGTCCCCGCCTCCGAGAACCCTTTCCGGGAGAAGAAGTTCTTCTGCAGCATCCTCTGATGACCTGCCGGTCGAGCTGTATGGGTGCAGGCATGGCGTTGCCTGTCTTCTCTGTCTTCACCACACCTGAAGCTACTGGCCATAGGCGTTGAGTTGAGTTTTGCCAGGTGGACACTCTGTTGTTGGTCAGCTCTGTCCTGGTGGCTGAAGGTTTTGGGGGAGTCAACTACCAAACTGGCGACCCAATGAGCGTATCATGTCTTGTTAAATAGGTTTGTTATTGCTTTGTTATTAGAGAACAGCCTTGCTCAGTGCTTAATGAGATGAGAGATGTTTTTTTTCTTTAATTGTGCTAGATCTTAACATGCCTCAGGAAACAGAAATTTGCCCAGTGTCTCTGACTTTTTTTAAATATTTATTTCCCTTCCCTTTACCTGAATAAAAAAGCATTCATCTTTTTGTTATCTTGAACATAACGAGTTAGTTTTTATTGCTTTCAGTGCACAGGTTTGACTATTCGTAGCAAAACATTACTGAAAGTACTGCTGAAATTTGACACTTTCCTCACTAGTGGTTTCTCTTTCAATTTGCCTCGAGACACAAATAATTAATCTGCTAGTTGTAGTGCCGCAGTACAGTCAGATTCAGATTAGAGCCCAGAAACAGAAACCTTATCTTGCTTAGTAAATGATTTGTTTGTGCCAACTGCTCTGGTAATACGGAGGTGGCTGCACATCAGTTCTGCTGCAAATAAATAAATAGACCCTGTGTTTATTGGAAGATGCAGAGCTAATGTTTCAACAGCGAGATGAGTTCCTCAGGGCTATCAGTGTGCAAACAACCCTTAGGTCAAGAATTATTTATGAATCTGCCACCTCCTTCTCAGGCCCACTCTAATGCATTCTTCCCTTGCTGCTCCTTTAATTTACTCATCATATACTTCATCCACGTCAAATCAGAGACACTATCGGTTAATCCTGCAGCCCCTGACTGGAATATTTGTACAAGTTGCAGGAGACATCTTTTCCCCTTGTTTCCTTAACGGTCTCATTTGTTTTCTGGGCATGTTTCTTGAGCCTGATTCTTTTTGCCTGTCCTAGAGTGAATGGCAAGGCCTTTGACATTAATGCCAAACCAGAGGCCTGCATGTTCCTCCGCTCCTTTTTGGCAGCCTCCTCTGTTTCCGAGGGGCTGTCAGTCTTTTAGAGTGTACAGTATGTTACAGTGCCAATTTCTGTGAGAGCAGTGTGATCTTCACACTGTGCTCCCACAGCCTTTTTTCCCCCCGTTTTTGTTTGTTTTCGGAAGAAAAGGCACACTGTCGAAACATTTCCTTTACATGGTAGTTGAATAGCATTTGCTAATTTTTACGATGAATTGTTATGATCGTTATTAATATTGTTATTATCGGTAGTATTATTGAATATTTGTTGCACAGCACTGACAGCTACATGACGTGTAGTGCTACTAAGCTTGTATGATACTTAGGAGAAAAAACATTTATAAATCATGCAATTATTGATACTATCTGACTATTTTTTAAGAATAACGGTTAAGGGTCGGTTTACATAATATAATATGATCCCTTCGGTGGTTGAGGCTTTTTGCATTATCGTTTCTGTAAAATTAAAATAAATTTCCTCTTGGTACTTGGTAAGAGCCATCGCATTAGGAATCAAACTGAAACTGGACTGTCACAAACTATCGGACTCAAATTGTTTTCAGGATAATTATTGTCTTTATTTCCTAAATCAAAAACACCTGAGACTGACCTCAGGGCGCTCCCACTGACCTCATCTTAAGGATGGTGCCAAATCTGAAACAAGAAATATAACGGTTAGAGATGAATATTGCATGGATTTATTTCTATCTTTAACAGAGAGAACTATTATGATATGAAATATTGCCTCTTCGTTGACTTTCTGGGTGCTACTTTGCACATAATAATCTCCTTGGAGTACGGATATGTCGACAATGTGCAGCTGTATTCATGAATGGTATTATCGTTTTGGTAAAAAAAAAATAGCATTTAAATAGTAGGCTTTGTAAATCCTTTGATGGATCAAATGAATTAAAGGAAAACGGCAACCCCAATGTGCTGTGTCTTCAATAATTCTGCCTCGTGTCTCTCACTGACGTTTGGAGCTACAGTCTGTCTGATCACACTGATAACATGAAAGGCCACTGCAAATGGTTGTGGGTCTCACAGATGAACATGATATTCTGGTGTGTAGTGGAGACCTCCTGTGGCTGAGCTGAACCATAGGCCATCTGGATGCACTGTTCATGCTCCATGGCTTCTTTTTTTTTTTTTTTTTTTTCATAGGACCGTGATTCAATTCAGCCTCAGCCAGTTTGTCTTTTACATTGCAGATAGAAAAAAAAAGTGTCTTCCGACACCGCAGGGCGCATGAAGAATATCCATTATAATGATTCGGGGTATCTGCCACTGACTCACTTTCTGTTGCAGCTATTTCATGTTTCCATCATGCATGCATTTATAGCCTCACTTTTTACACGTTTGGTTGATATTGGTTACTATTTCACTGCACTTTAAGGTCTGGTGATCACATCGGAGTCAGAATTGCTTGTTTTGGCCTAATGCATCATGGCCAGATGAGGAAAACAACCTGTTTTTTCTTATTATAGGTCAAGTTATAAAAACTTGCAACAACTGAAGGGATTGTTCAAAACACTATTTGATGACTTTTGATGAATGACATTGATAAGGCAAATCAGGTATCCCTTATTGATTTTCCAATCCCAAAGGACCAGGATGTAATTAAAGAGAAGCAGAGGTTGTTTTTTTTCAACCTCGGCAAAGCTGTGGTGAAAATCGATCAGCTTTGTATTGTGACTGATGGAGTCCTACATGAACACAGCATTGTCTCGTAAAGTTAGGACAGTTTTTCTTTTTTTCTGAGCTGTTTTCACAGAAGTGAGCAGGGTGTATTTCAGAAAAAAAAGATGTCACAAACTTCAGTACACCAATTTTTAGCAACATTTGGATAAGTATATGATCACCAATGGATGGTTGTTTGGTCACTGTCAATAACATCTAATCCAACCACACAGTCCCAATCAAGTGTCTCAGCTGAATTCTTTAGTGTTTGTAAGTTTATTTTCCTAAAGTTAAATTGAAATGTCGGTCATTTAGCCATGGCTAATTGAGATTGTAGAAAATAAGTAAAATATTTAGAATTGTACACCAAGCTTTCAGGGGCTGTAAGTGAGTTTTACTATTACAGCTCCTTTCCTGTCCTTGAACCCTCAATTTGGATAGGACAACAACTTTTATGTACCAAAAACTAAAATTAGAAATTCAAGAAGTCTTAATATTATGTGGTATGATTCTCAGATGGGACCTGACTAGATAAAAATAAATCTATACAGATCCCAAAACAAGTTCAGTGAGTGCTGTGTGTTCTGAACCCTGCAAAAGAAAAGAGGAAAAACAAAAATGACTTGAATTGGAATAACATGAATAGAGAATAAATAAACAAGTTTTGACAAATAAATAAAAAGTTAATTCAGAGTTGAGAGCATATCAACAACAAACTAGAAAAAGACAAAGGTTAGATTTCTGCAGCAGAGCAGGATGTTAGTTTGTGTTTCAAGCAATCCTAACGATGCTATGAATAGTCTTTTTCTTTCAAATGAATAATGTGTTGCAGAGAGAGAGAAATAAATCATTGTAATGAGTGTGAGTATGACTCCAGAAAGAATGATATAATGCACAGGAAAGTAATTATCCCCAGGGCAGTAGATTATCTAATATGGAGAATCTGTGCTGCCCCCAAACTGTATGCAAAATATACATGAGAATAGTAATAATTCCTGATAAGATCTTTTATCTACACTCGCAGCATACTATTTCTACTCATAACATTGGCGTACAGTGCGTTGCATGCCAGTGTTTCCCATTAAATCATACTTTTTCCCTGAAAGAGGTGGTAAAGATTTCTTGAATAACATGTATGCAACATTGGAACTCCATTAAGATGAGTACAAATGACATTCTTACAAGCATGGAAGCAGGCGCTCTTTTGATGGCGTGGCCCCCTCTTCCTCTGCAGGAGAAACACTGGTGCTCTCAAAGTCAGAAGAAATCCTCCTCAAACACCCTCCTCCATGCACAATAGATTCCATTTAAATGATTCATGAGCAGCACAGGGTAACAGATTTAAAGTTGTGTTCTAATTTTAAAGCTGCAACGTGTCACCTGGGTGTTATTGGGTTCAAATGATTATGTTCATGTTTTACTCTGCTCTGTTTCCCCACTTAATTGGAAATTAACTGAAGTAGAATAAAACGACTCTTCATTATGTGATAAACATGGGAAGATGTGCCACAGAGATACTGTGTGTAGCTCTAATCAATGTTTTAATGTTTCATTTTAATTCTGAGGACACGTGATGAACTATTTATTGTGCTTACTAAAATATGCCGTTTACTTATATGCAGTTTGAGTGGAAAGTTAAACTGCGTGGCGTGATCTATTTTTCTATGGAGCTATATATGGAGAACGATTTTTAATAACAATAATAGCAACAAACTATTGCATCTGGAGTTCAATTATATCCTTACCAACTTTTATATTCATATTTTATTGCACCTTCTAACTCGCGAAACTGTTCTGATTGGCCAGAGAGCGTCAAACTCCATCTCCCAGAGTGCGCCACGGCAGGGCTCCACGTCTCCCATTGGCTGCTCTCTCCCAGCAGCGGAGGCAGACATGAGGTAGTGGTGAGAGCCCGGCGGAGAGCTGCGGAGCTGAAATCAAGCGCACACACGGAGCGGCTCACACCGTGCAGTGCCGTGCGGCTCAGGAAGAGGCTCCGCGCCGCTCAAGCTGAAGGCTGCTCCGGCTGAATGAAGGGCTCCGTCCATGCGGAGGCTAGCGCTCATTCTGCTGCCCTGTGCTGTCGCCGTCCTGGTGCACTTGTGGTTGGCACAACGACCCTCCTCCACGCCGCTGGACAACAACACACGCTCCGGTACTTTTCTTTTACCACAATCCCCGGGTTTCACCTCCTCAAAGCCTCGCAACTTTTAACATCCGACCGAGCGGCTGGCTAACTTTGCTTTTACCGCCCCGGTGTGTCTGTTGTTGTTTGTTAGTTTGTGTGGGAACAGGTAGTTTGTGCTTCGCTCGTGAGACTGTGTGACTGCACTGCAGTGTGTCTGTGTGTGTGTGTGTGTGTGTTCATGTGTGTGTGTGTTCATATGTGGTGTTTTGGGGAGGAATGATGTGACTGTAACACTTCAGTAGTGTTGGGCGTTGATGGGATAGTCTAACGTCTGGAAACAGACCGAAGCGAGCTGAGCATGTCTGTCCTGTTACTACTGCGGATCCCTGCGCTGCTTTCACACGGACCATCACTTATGATCAGGGAGGAATATAGTTTAATTATATAGTTTAACCACCTTTTGATGCATGAAGACAATTTTCATGATGTCAATTCTAGGATGCATCACAAAGTAAGTCAGCTCAAACTAAATATTAGAGGAATGGGAAGCACACATCAAGCATTCCTCAAAGTGTGATTTTTGTTTTGTATTATTTTGTTGATGTCTGATTGTTGCCCTATCATTGTCACCATCTGTGTGTCTTATTTTATCCTCCTCACTGAATAAGAAATGACGTCCTGTTGTTGTACCATTTCAATATTTCAGCATGTCTTTGTGTTTCCGATGCAGATGAATCGGTCCCTTTCTATGAAGTTTTGGTGGGAGTGTTGTCAGCGAGACACCACTACGAACTGCGACAAGCGATAAGGGAGACCTGGCTGGGCTACCTCCGAGATCACCCTCTCTACCAGAGCAGGTCTGTAGGGTGCAGCTCCAACTTCAACACTTGTTTTTCTCAAGGACAGATTCATACGGTAGAAATAAAGCCTGTCAGCAAATCACTGACTGGCCCCACCGACCCTTTTACCTTCACCTGACCAGCGGCCGATATTGTTCTCTCTTTCATTCCTTTTTTCCTCTTTTTTTTGGTCCATTTCCTTCTAATTTCAGCGATCGGAGCAAAGATACGGTGCGATGGCCTTTAAGCAACCCTCTGTAACCATGGCAACGGAGGGCGGATAAGATGGACAAGCGTTAGAAATCGTACAGACTAATAATGCAAATAAAATTGCTTATTTTTCAGAGTGGGGGTGAAGTTCATCGTGGGCGAACATGGGTGTCCCATTCCAGAGGAGGACAGAGAGGATCCGTACTCCTGCTCCCTCCTGAACTTCACGCAGCCAGGTAAAATATTAATATTAATATTAATAATAATAATAATAATAATAATGATCTGCCTCACCCACTGATGAGGGGGCAGCTGTAATATGGAAAGATACTCCGTGTGCAATCTGTTGCTTGGTTCTGCAGTCGTCAATAGTGGAGCGGAGGCAGAATAAGTTGAAAGAATGCATATTCAGAAAAGAAGTAAAACACCTTATTCATGTTCACCCACAGCTCAAGGACACCATTCTTTATCCTCTCCATGCCCAAGGCCAAAGCAGACATCTCTCCCAGCTGCTGCAGCTGTAACTAGAGCTGCGTATTAACACTTGTAAAGGAGAACTATACGAAGCACTGCCGCGCCATGTAGGAAATAATTGAACAGGCTTTCTGTCAGAAGGAACAACCACAGTCATTGTTATGTCTCTCACCCTTCACAGAGCCAGTTCAATGCAGCTATTTCACTACTTCCCCCCCGGCCGGTTCATTGTTAGCCGCCTTCATGAAAACACAATTACTGCTCATCAGAATGGGCTTTTTCAGGCGGCGGCCTTTAGGGTCATGGTGACGTTTTAGTCTCCGCTCTCCGCCGCGTTAATGGCTGTAAGTGTTGACGTGATTTGCTTCAGAATAGCGGGCGGGCGGCTTTGCAGCGAGATGCTCGTTGTGATCGGAAGAGAAAGAGACAGCGGCTGCTTTTAAACACCGTTGGGTACCTGATTTAGGATTCAGGTCAAAGCACACGTTAACCACACAATTTATTGTTGTTGAAATATGTTTGTGCTGCATTCATCACAAGGGATTTTTTTTGGGACTACGATAAGATGAATGCTAAGTTGTCTCTCAGACTCTGTTTTAATAATTCTTGTGTTTGTTTTGTATTTGAAAGACAAAAGTCAAAATCTTAATGATTTTGAGACTGAAAGGCTAATATAAAGCCTTTTTTTAACAATATTTGATTAATCGTTTTAGCTCTAGTCAAAACATTTCAACAAGTCGATCAGGATATCATCACACAACTTTGATATACGTTTCTTAGCAAAAAGGCTCCAAAAATCACAGGTTCCACTGTGAATATTAGCTGGTTTTCTGAGTCTCACTAAATTGAATACATTTGTGTTTTGAACTGTTTGTTGGACAAAACAAGTTCCAGAGGAGGACCGACTCTGTTGTGTGAGCAAGGTGGACTTGAGAATGACGTTCCCTTTTTGTTTTACTGTCTTGTCTACGAGGTCATAAGGGATGTACTTCGTAGTAAAGTGACCTCCATTTATGTTGATCTCTTTTGGCTGGAGGACTATAAAAAACACTTGAGTTGTGCGTCAGGAAAATAACTTTTTTTGTTTAGGAGAGAAGGCAGAATATTTTGTTATAGGCCAAGTGGTAAAATAACTGGTAACTTTGTAATGTAATGACATGTATGACACTGTCTTGTAAACCTATGGGGGGTTGGGTACTTTGTGTGCAATATAGAAAAAAAAATCAATCAAAGAGCAAATCAGTCAATCACAAGTAATTCGAGGGAGTCATTTTATAGACCAAATGTTAATTAATCAAGAAAATGATCTACAGATTAACCAATAATGTTAATATTTGTCAAACGCAGCCCTTATCGTGGCTTGATTTCTACATTGCATAATTAACTGTAAACAATGTAGAATATTATAGACCTTTTTAGTTGTTGCCTAATATTGAAAAAAAATCACCAATACAGTAAATAACTGTAAATTTACTGTTAATTATTTATGATTCATGCAAAGTTCTATTACTTTTCTCACCAGAATAAACCAGCAATCTCACACAGAGAGCACAAACTAATCATGTGGTGAGCACAGGAATATTTAATCATAGATGTCCTCACACACACACACTGGGAAAACCCTGAAGGTCAACTCCACTCAGTCACTGTGAGAAACATTTGGTTTGATAAAGTGCTGCTTTCTCTTTGTCCGTGTTCTTCACCTCTAATTTGTCTTCATTTGGAAGTGAGCAGCAGAACTTGTGTAGAATGCATAAAGTAAAAAAAAAAAAGGCCTGCTTCCCTTTAACAGCCTTGATCTTTTCATTGATCTCCTGGGTAATAAACTGCTCTTTTGTAATTAAGAAACCACACTCACGAGCACAGGCTCGCTTTGAAGACGGCGGTCCCAAGAACCGGCTTGTCAAAGTGCTGATGGTGTAGCTTTGACCAGAGTCTGCCTTCTTCTCTGAACGCCCGCCCTCTACCCGAATCACTCCGTCTTCATCATGGGAAAGAGACGGTCAGCATGTTGGGATTGTAATCAATGTAATGTGTGCTCGTGCGGTAACCTCTGCCATCCCCTCTGTGCCAGTGGCAGGCCGGGATGCGGAGATAGAGATCGTGAGGGTGTCCGACCCCTCGGCGCTCGCCCCCTCTGACGTGTCGGCCATCGCCTTGGATTTCAAGGTCCTCCACCCGGTGGTGATCACCAGGCTCGGGGTGTTTCCCAGCGGGAGCCAGCCAGAGCTTCAGAGCAATGTGACGGTGAAGCTTCTCCAGCTGGACCAGGAGGTAACAGAACCTCCACCTCTGAGCATATTGTGTCCCGTACGCTGTGCTTCTGGTGGATACACAGCCTGGGGGAAGCTGGAGGACTCTTTGCTCTCTGCCGGTGCTTTTTACTGCCTCAAACTGAAACTCTTTAATTGAACTGCGGTGTGGTATTCATTTAGGTGAAGGGAAATTTGCAACTCGTGATTTATTTATTTTTTTGCAGGAGGCTGTGGTCACTGCTCGCTTCAGTGCCATCAGCACAGGGACCATGGTGAGCGGGCTGTGGTACAAACCAGTGGAGCAGTTCATCTTGCCTAAGGTCAGTTTCTCACATGCATCTCTAATATCCTGCCGACAACCCCGAGATGATGAGTCAAATCCCCCCCGACCGACATCCACCCCTCCAAAGAAGAGTCTCCAAATGTTTAAATTATTTAGCTCTTTTACATTTAACTGTTTAAATATATTTTCTGCAAGTTCTATTTAAATAATGCAGTTCCTTCAAAGACCGTACGCTGAACACAACTATCTAAACTGTATCTAAAATCACTCCAGTGTCTCAGAATTGATCTCTTATTTTTTCCTAGAGTTGGTAACCGATAACTATGTGTAGTTCTCTCCCGGAAGCATCTCAGGAAAATAACTTCAATATTTCCCAGCAGAAAATAAAATGCTAAATGTTATTACAAAGCCTTCTCCGCGAGGAACACAAGGTTAAAATGCAGTGTTTTGCTGCCGTCTCTGGTTGAAAGTTTCAAGCTTATTTTGCACATCCATCATCAAAAATGTGCTTTGTTGCACCTGCAACCACACCCAGTAGTGATGTCACAGGGTCCCGGAGTACATCTGTACATCACTGCTGCAAAGTGAGAAGTTAAACCACAGCAAAAACAAGATCTTCAGGGTGTTAAGTTAATCTTATGACAATGAATAAGCAATAATGAAATTGTACAGAGGACATGATGTCACTGTCCTCCGCGGTAGCTATACTGCTCAGTGTACAGTATAATGTTGCTCAGTTTAAATAGGGCTTGACAGAACAACACCATGCTACATGTGCAAAGAATGAGACATCTGCTGTTTATCCAGGGTTTTGAGGGGACGCTGGTTTGGGAGAATATGGCCTCTGCTGGATTGACGACGGTCAACTCCTCTGTGCCGCTCAATGATGGTGGAGGAGTCCTCAAGATCTCATCTGTACGTACTGACAGGGAATCATCAATAAATGTATTCAGAATATTTCCTTTCAAGTTTCAAAGTGAATGAAATACATTTTCTTTTTTTTTTTTTTGCTGTTTTCTTGAATTGCAGATCGCAGAGGGCGTCTTGCCTCATAGAAGTGCGCTTGGATTTCCCGGTTTGGCTGGAGGGTTCACATTTACTATCTACGGTTGGTCCAGCAACAGAAATTAAGTCGGAGCTTTTAATGAAAACAGTGTGATCAAATGAGCCAACCTTTGTAAAATGAGTCTCTGTGTAAAAATAAAATAAAACCATTGTTCTCTCCTACAGGTTATGAGATTAGCTACTTTTTCACCTCCTTTTCCTATTTCATGCCTGCCAAATCGAAACCACATTTCTTTTTCTCCTCTCTACCCTGTTGTGTTGCATTATTGATAGACCTGCATGCGTTTGCATTTGAGTTTATCTGGGAACGGATTTGTAGCCATTTTTGGGGGAAACAAATAGCATCCAATACCTCTGAAAACAGAACCAACGGTCCATTCTGTAAAATGTTACAATTGTATTTGATTGTTTTGGCAGCCAGTCATTTAAGTTATCATCCTTCAAAAGTGCCTTAATGTATCCAAACACAAGTGAATGTGACTTTTTAAAATCTCATTCTGGAAGAAAACTCTTTGCCTAATTTGTCCTGTTTCCTCTCCCTATGTCCACCCCCCCACCCCCCACACCTGTGTCAGATGAAGACGGCCTGTCGGGGCTCCTGCGGGGCCGCCCGGCCAGGATGGAGCGCCACGCCTCCAGGCTGAGGCAGGAGGACGCCGCCTTGCAGCAGGAGAGCCTCAGGCACGGCGACATGGTGTTCGTGGACGTGGTCGACACCTACAGGAACGTGCCTTCCAAACTGCTTCAGTTCTATAAATGGTATGGCAAGTGCTAATGACTCCATTCCCTGTCTCCAAATTGCCCGGGCCCTCTGAGGAAATCAGCAGCCTGAAACGAAAGTGTGTCGTCGCCTCAAAATGTCTCGCTGTTAGAAACACGATTGCAATCACTCAGTCGGAAAAAGTACAGTTGTGAGTCATCAGGTAGCGAAATAGACAGAGGGGTCTTAAGCTTTGGCAAGTATTTTTATTTCGTTGCAAGACCTGCTGCCCTTCACTCTCGGTGATATTTGAATGTAAATCCACTTTGGGATATTGCCAAAAATCAGAAGGTGGGCTTTAATAAAGGTTGCAAATTCCATCTCCGGCAGGTCTGTGGGAAACGCTGACTTTAACCTGCTGCTGAAGACTGATGATGATTGTTACATCGACGTGGACTCGGTATTAATGAAAATTGACCATAAGGGTCTCAAGCGCAGCAATTTCTGGTGGGGGAAGTAAGTACAAACTGATCCTGTTGACGACGTATATTTTGCTGTTGTTTTTAGTCCACTTGTGTTTGCAACTTAACTTCAGTGCACCGTGTCAGCTAAACTCGAGATGAAAGACTCAAAACAAATGATGGGTCCGTTGAAAGGGAGACGGGATGTGATGATAATGTATCTCCCGTCCTGACCCAGTTTCAGGCAGAGCTGGGCAGTGGACCGCATTGGGAAGTGGCAGGAGCTGGAGTACGCTAGTCCAGCGTACCCGGCGTTTGCCTGCGGCTCGGGCTACGTGGTCTCTCATGACCTGGTCCAGTGGCTCGCCAGCAATGCAGATAAACTGAAGGCCTATCAGGTAAGAGTACCCAAGGACAAGAGACTGTGGGGGTATGGTGGCAGATAGTCGTGAATATAATGAGAGGAGTGTCCTGGCTGTCTTGTTTTCAGGGAGAAGATGTGAGCATGGGGATATGGATGGCAGCTGTTGGACCACAGAAATATCAGGTAATTGCATATCCAATGAAGCACCATGATCACAGATGATTTGGTTTGGTACATATTTATGTGTATTTGTGGAATACAATTTATCAGACTGTCAGGGATAGAAAGATGAAGTCCTACGCGCTCCAGCGTTGTCCCCGGTGTTTTCACGGTCCGCTATCTATCTGCATTCAATGTCTGACATTAGGAATTGTTGGGAAAAGAAGAGGAGTCATAGTGGAAAATGTAACCATGTATACAATATGTTTCTCGAGGAAGGAGACGCACATCTACGATTTTATGACGTAGTTTAAGATGCAACATCAACTGAAAGGGAAAACATTAAAAAAAACTGTTAAGATGTTTCTCTGAATTGTAATATTGGCCTCTAAAGTCAATTTTACGAGCGTGGTGGTTTTTACAATGTTGTGGTTTTAGTTTGTTAAATCAAAGTTCATATTGTGAACGATAACTTTAGTGTGGGTTATCGACCCAGCTCTCTTGCATTGCTTCTTTTACACAAGTTGGTGCAGTTCAAAGTGCTCTATAAGTGACTGACACACAAGATTAATTGGACCGGAGAAAGCTAAATTGTAGAACTATGGGAGACTAAACTAGAGGCCATCTTTTGATGACAGCGTATCAAAGGTGCATGTTAACAATTGAACCTAAAAAGACCATGACGAGTGTGAGGCTAATAACCAAATCAGCCTGTGCATGTTAACACAGCCACTGTCCTGCCCCCCTTTTGCTATTGCTAGGACCCCGGCTGGCTGTGTGAGAAAGAGTGCTACCTGGACATGCTGTCGTCACCCCAACACACCGCCGAGGAGCTGCTCACCCTCTGGGACAGGAAGAGGGCCTGTGGAGACCCCTGTGGTTGTCCCTGGGGCCACTAAATGTGACTCACAATCACCACACGGCACTGTGGGTAAAATGCAAACTGAGTAGTTTCAGAGTTTTATCAGTTACAATTTTATGATGAAACAATTCGAGTTTTGAAATGTGGGCACTTCTTGTGGGGAAATAATCTTAAAAGCTTTTAGATTTCATTGCAGGTTCTTAATATTCACATCAACGTCATAAAACAGTTGCAGCTGTAGCATTGCGTCAGCATTTGTATCATGAACTCAGTTCTTATATTTGAGATTGTCTGTTCCACTGAAGACGTTTTTAATGTGCACAACGTCTGGATTAAAAGAAGCTTTAGTTATGTGATAAGGACAAGAACCATCTGCAGTACCAGCATGTGCTGGTCCTCATGTAAACAATCACTGCTGTAAGACTTGAGTACTCTGTAATATTGTAATTATTGGCACCCTGATACTTGACTTAAACCTTGTGGTTTAAAGGGGATGTTTGATGGAGTGACTGCTTTACATTGCTATGTTTTGTAAATTCTTGTCTCGAGCTTTTCACCCTCTTCACCTTTTTGTAGATTCACGACAAGCGTTCTCACAAACACAGTTCAAACTGTGTGTGTGTGTGTGTGTGTGTGTGTGTGTGTGTGTGCGCAAATAGTGATCTGGCCTTACTGTATTTGTTAGGCGTCACACTGTATGTATGTTAACACTTGTGATATCCACACATATTTGAATAAGCGTGTTTGCAACAAAATATTTTGGAGCTTGAGCAAGCAGTCGGAGTGACTGTGAAAAAGACTCACTTGTTTAACACTGCTTTTATGAAACCCTTCTCACAGGTAATAAAGTACACTGAAGAGAGATGAATGACTTCCTCGTTTGTTTTTTTTGGGGACGTGGCGCACGGTAAAGTCACGGGGGTTGCTGATTCTGTGTTGGATCCATGTTGTGCCTGAAGCATTGTTTTAGCCATTAGTGCTGCTCAGTCAGCAAACGGACTTTGCTCGTGCTGTTACAGAAGTCGGCTTCTTCGACTTGAAAGGAATATGAAATCACTTTGATGTCTATTGGGGATTGTTTTCCTGAGACAGTGGCTCAGACGCCGCTGGAATGATGAACAGGGAAACCCGTGGAGTGTTGTTGGCCCCAAATTGATCCGCGCCTTCATGTCGAATCATCAGCACTGAACACATCCAGCCGTCAACTCGTACTCATTGTACCTCTTTAAAAAGCTTGGAATTAAGTAAATGTGGTGATTTCTATGAGCCTGCAGTGATTTGTTTGTCTGTTAAAGTTTAGCCATGTTATGATTGAGTCACTAGAGTTAGATTAGCCTTTCTCTGTGTGGTAAATAGTGAAAGATGATGCTGAGTATTTTACTAATGGGGGATAATACAAGTCGTTTGTTTTATTTAGGCCTGCCATTCCTCTTTCTCCTCAGCCTCCCGATCTTATCCTTTTCGCCGCCACTCCTTCAGTGAGCTGCATTATAACAAAAATCATATCTGCATCTGTTCCGATCTCCTACGTCGATAAGGACGGGGGTGGGGGGAGCGCCCTCATCTCAGCTCAAGTGCTCCTGAAGACGAAGTTATTGAAGTGGTCTGAAGTTTGATGAGCGCTGTGGGGATATTGTCACTCACCTATGTAGAATTTATATATTATCAGCATTGTTTATTTCCAGAGATGTGCTTCAAATCTTCTGCCTCCTTGGTTCTGTTGGTGTGTATGAGTTCTGTTCTCTCATTCATACCCATCCAAGCAGGCAATCAAATCAACCACATCATAATAACTTGAGACAAATTGTTCAATGTTTGCAGCCTCTGTCTAGGCATGTAAATTTAGCTGTTTGCGACTTTTTAAGACTTCAACTCACCTCATTTGCTGCCAATATACAATGACTGTACATCATGTGGAGAGTACTATTCTGCGGATTAGTGCCTCATATTTTCAAGGAATAAAAATGCTGTGAAATAATGCGTCAAAGGGGAACACCACTCAATAATTCCTTTGTTCTGTGTGAGATCAATATTTGTGAGCATGAAGTCTCCCAAAGCTGGATGTTTAAAGATTGATCACAACAAAAAAAGTATTTTGACTACACAAGTACTTAGTGAGTATTCTTACTCACTAAGATCTCAGCTTAGTGAGGAAGAATATCTGATTCATCCGTATGTTTGATATAAATAAACCCCACACATTTTGAATCATCTGCCCTTAAGCAAGTGTGTAATCTTTTCCAAGAGACATCGAGAGTACAATTCCCTGAACCACTGACTTATTTTCACTCTATTAATATTTTGCCAGGAAAGTGCAATCATCCGTTTAGCCTCTGACGAGCACTGCTCTGAGAAAACAGAAATAACTTGAGCGCTTGAGTTAATTGTATTTATAAAATCCTTTTCATCTCGAGTCTCACCTCTTCCTAAAACTCATTGCTCTGCAGATTGAACACAAGAACATGTTGACATTACAAATTTGAGTCCTATATTCTTCATGTCTGGTTTCAATGGTAGACAATTACGTGTCTACCATTGAGTGTTGTAGAATCTTTTTTGGTCTATAGTTTCCCATCGTCTCCTCAAATGAGTTTAAATACAATGAACAGCACTCAGCATGTTCCAAACATGCTCTTACGAATGGATTATAAACTGGATGCTGTTAGACACGATAAAAGTGTGTATTGTTATATTTGTTCATGCAATTGTTTGCCAATGTTTACAGTTAATTCTTTACTTTCAGCTAACTATTTCATCTATTGATCATTTACTTAGTTAACTACTTCAACTATTTACCCATTATTTTAAGTTAACTATTGAAACTACTTATCCATTACCTTTGGTTAATTATTTCAACTATTAATCCATTACTTTTAGTTGATTATGTTAACCAAAAAAGTCAAAGTATAGTATGTCGAAAAAAGTGAAAACAGTCATAGTATAGTAAGTCGAAAAAAGTCATAGTATAGCATGTCGAAAAAAGTCATAGTATAGCATGTCGAAAAAAGTCATAGTATAGTATGTCAAAAAAATACAAAACTGATGTATAGTTATAGTATAGTATGTTGAAAAAAGTACAAAAGTTATAGTATAGTATGTCGAAAAGAATTTAAAAAGTCATAGTATAGTATGTCGAAAAAAGTAGAAAAGTCATAGTATAGCATGTCGAAAAAAGTAGAAAAGTCATAGTATAGCATGTCGAAAAAAGTGAAAAAAGTCGTAGTATAGTATGTCGAAAAAAGTCATACTAATATGTCTACATTTTTTTTAAGTCATAATATAGCTTAGCATGTCGAAAAAAGTAGAAAAGTCATAGTATAGCATGTCGAAAAAAGTACAAAAGTCATAGTATAGCATGTCTTAAAAAGTCGAAAAAAGGTCATAGCTTAGTATGTCGAAAAAAGTGAAAAAAGTTGTAGTATAGTATGTCGAAAAAAGTCATAGTATAGTATGTCGAAAAAAGTCATACTATATGTCTACATTTTTTTTAAGTCATAGTATAGCTTAGCATGTCGGAAAAAAGTAGAAAAGTCATAGTATAGTATGTCGAAAAAAGTCATAGTATAGCATGTCGAAAAAAGTCATAGTATGGTATGTCAAAAAAATACAAAACTGATGTATAGTTATAGTATAGTATGTTGAAAAAAGTACAAAAGTTATAGTATAGTATGTCGAAAAGAATTTAAAAAGTCATAGTATAGTATGTCGAAAAAAGTAGAAAAGTCGTAGTATAGTATGTCGAAAAAAGTCATAGTATATTATGTCGAAAAAAGTCATACTATATGTCTACATTTTTTTTAAGTCATAATATAGCTTAGCATGTCGAAAAAAGTAGAAAAGTCATAGTATAGCATGTCGAAAAAAGTAGAAAAGTCATAGTATAGCATGTCTTAAAAAGTCGAAAAAAGGTCATAGCTTAGTATGTCGAAAAAAGTGACAAAAGTTGTAGTATAGTATGTCGAAAAAAGTCATACTATATGTCTACATTTTTTTTAAGTCATAGTATAGCTTAGCATGTCGAAAAAAGTAGAAAAGTCATAGTATAGCATGTTGAAAAAAGTACAAAAGTCATAGTATAGCATGTCTTCAAAAGTCGAAAAAAGGTCATAGCATAGTATGTCGAAAAAAGTAGAAAAAAGTCGTAGTATAGTATGTCGAAAAAAGTCAAAGTATAGTATGTCGAAAAAAGTCATACTATATGTCTACATTTTTTTTAAGTCATAGTATAGCTTAGCATGTCGGAAAAAAGTAGAAAAGTCATAGAATAGTATGTCGAAAAAAGTCACAGTATAGTATGTCGAAAAAAGTCATACTATATGTCTACATTTTTTTTAAGTCATAGTATAGCTTAGCATGTCAAAAAAAGTAGAAAAGTCATAGTATAGCATGTCGAAAAAAGTCGAAAAAAGGTCATAGCATAGTATGTCGAAAAAAGTAGAAAAGTCATAGTATAGTATGTCGAAAAAAGTGAAAAAAGTCGTAGTATAGTATGTCGAAAAAAGTAGAAAAGTCATAGTATAGCATGTCGAAAAAAGTGAAAAAAGTCATAGTATATGTCTACATTTTTTTTAAGTCTTTTTTTAAAGTCATAGTATAGCTTAGCATGTCGGAAAAAAGTAGAAAAGTCATAGTATAGTATGTTGAAAAAAGTACAAAAGTCATAGTATAGCATGTCTTCAAAAGTCGAAAAAAGGTCATAGCATAGTATGTCGAAAAAAGTAGAAAAAAGTCGTAGTATAGTATGTCGAAAAAAGTCAAAGTATAGTATGTCGAAAAAAGTCATACTATATGTCTACATTTTTTTTAAGTCATAGTATA